AGATTGTTTTTGGAAATATTGTTTTTTAGGCTAAATATTCTGTGATAATATGACAATTTATATTGGAAATATTTGGAAATATATTTTTAATATATATATGTGTTTTTTATGTCATAGAATTTTTTAACAACCAAGAATATTTGGTAACTATTATACTATAGGATAATGTAAATAAAAATTAAGTTGGTCCAAAATTGATACTCATTTCATTAATGTGTGAAAATTGTCAATTGTGTCTCTTAAAATGAGGCTTAAATATTTCTTTAGTGTGAACTATAAAAATTGCCCATCCAACCTACAAAAAGTGCCATTGCACCTATACAAAAATTGACCATCCGACCAACAAAAAATGCCCATCCGACCTATAAAAGTGCCCATCCAACCTACAAAAGTGCCCTGCCAAACTACAAAAAGCACCCATTAGACCTACAAAAAGTGCCCATCGGACTTACAAATGTGCCCATCCGACCTAGATAAAAGGGGCATCTGACTATTATTTTGGTCGGATGCACCAATATTTAAAGTTCCCCTCTGACCTACAGTACATCGGAACTATAGCAGCTGTAAAACGTCACATGCTATAATAGGTTGGATGGGTAGTAGAACAAACGTGTGTACGTCCAAAAATACACCATTGTTTTAAATAGAAGCGAATGAAGATGAATTACTTAAAGTTATCTGAAAACTAATTTTGATATAAGATTTTACAAGCATATTAAATAAAATACGAACATTGTATATTTTTTAAAAATCATTTATTTGTTTAAATGTTGTTCTAATAATCAAATAAGAGATATGATGATGAAAAATAAACAAAAACAATTTAAATTCAAATAATAAAGTGATTTGAAGGAAATCTTGAGACTTTAATATATTATCAAACTATAGCTTTCTAAAATAAAGTCAGACATTGTTCAGGGTTTCCGTTAATGTTTCTGTCTTATTGTATAATAAAGTCAGACATTGTTCAGGGTTTCCGTTAATGTTTCTGTACTACAAGGGTATCTTACTCCTTCATGTTTACTTTCAACATGTTTCTTCAGATCGCCTGCTTGGGTGGCAGAATAATCACAGTATTTACATGGATATCTCTCACCCTCATGTATATTTTCAACATGCCTCTTTAAATCACTTGCTGTATTACAGAGATACCTAATTCCCTCATGCTTACTTTTAACATGTTTCTTCAGATAACCTGCTTGTAGTGGCAACATATTCACATTGCTTACAGGGATAACTTACTCCCTCATGCTTATTTATAACATGTTTCTTTAGATCACCTGCTGTAGTGGCAGCATATTTACACTGGACGCAAGGATATTTCACTCCTTTATGCTTATTTTCAACATGTTGTTTCAGATGACCTGCTTGAGTGGCAGCAAATTCACATTGCTTACAGGGATACCTTACTCCCTCATGCTTATTTATAACATGTTTCTTTAGATCACCTGCTTGAGTGACAGCGTATTCACAATGTTTACAGGGATATCTTACTCTTTCATGCTTACTTTCAACATCTCTCTTCAGGTTGCCAGCTTCAGTGGAAGCAACTTCACAGTGTTTAAATGGATATTACAATCCTTTATGCCTAATTTCAACATGTTTCGTTAGATGACCTGCTGTTTACAGGGATATCTCACACCCTCGTGCTTTCTTTCAACATGTCTCTTCAAAACACTTGCTGTAGTAGCAGCATATTCACAATTTGAACAGGGGTATCTCACTCCTTCGTGTTTTCTTTTAACATGTCTCTTCAGATGATATGCTGTAGTGGCAGCATATTCACAGTGCTTACAGGGATATCTCACACCCTCATGCTTACTTTCAACATGACTCTTCAAACCACCTGCCGTAGTGGCAGCATATTCACAATTTGTACAGGGATATCTCACACCCTCATGCTTAATTTCAACATGTCTCTTCAGATTATTAAATTTTGTGGCCGCATATTCACAGTGTTTACAGGGATACCTCATACCCTCATGTATACTTTCAACATGTTTCTTCAGATCGCCTGTTTGAGTGGCAGCATAATCACAGTATTTACAGGGATATCTCACACCCTCGTGTATACTCTCAACATGCCTCTTTAAATCACCAATTGTTGTGGCAGCATATTCACATTGTTTACAGGGATATTTCACTCCTTCATGTTTACTTTTAACATGTTTCTTCAAAGCGCCTGCTTGAGTGGCAGCATATTCACAGTATTTACAGTGATATCTCACACCCTCATGTATACTTTCAATATGCCTCTTTAAACCACCTGTTGTTGTGGCAGCATATTCACATTGTTTACAGGGATACCTCACACCCTCATGCTTATTTTCCACATGTTTCTTTAGATCACCTGCTTGAGTGGCAGCATATTCACATTGTTTACAGGGATATTTCACTCCTTCATGCTTACTTTTAAAATGTTTCTTGAGATGTACAGCTTGAGTAGCAACATAATCACATTGTTTACAGTGATATCTCACTCCTTCGTGTTTATATTCAATATGTCTCTTCAGACTTCCAGCTTTGGTCGCAACATAATCACATTCAGAACAAGGGTATCCTTCTCCTTCATGTTTACTTTTCTTGGTTCTCTTTGGTTGGGAGTAAAGAGGATCTTCTTCAGTAACAACATTTTCACCTGAACAATAGAAATAATTACAAATAATAGAATAGAAACCAAATAATCCCAATTCTTTAGAGCTAATCAATAAAAAATATTCAAAAATAAATATTTTACATATTCTGATTTAACCAGTTTAACGAAACACGCAAAAAACCAGTTACTAAAGGTTCCTGAAATTATTATTAAGCATTAGTATTCGAGACATTGCCCACAGAGTCCAGTAATTAGGTATGGAACAACCTAGTATCTGCCCACAGAGTCCAGTAATTAGGTATGGAACAACCTACTATCTGCCCACAGAGTCCAGTAATTAGGTATGAAACAACCTAGTATCTGCCCACAGAGTCCAGTAATTAGGTATGGAACAACCTACTATTGCCCACAGAGTCTAGTAATTAGGTATGGAACAACCTACTATCTGCCCACAGAGTCCAGTAAATAGGTATGGAACAACCTACTATCTGCCCAAAGAGTCTAGTAATTAGGTATGGAACAACCTACTATTGCCCACAGACTCCAGTAATTAGGTATGGAACAACCTACTATCTGCCCACAGAGTCTAGTAATTAGGTATGGAACAACCTACTATCTGCCCACAGAGTCCAGTAATTAGGTATGGAAAAACCTACTAACTGCCCACAGAGTCCAGTAAATAGGTATGGAACAACCTACTATTGCCCACAGAGTCTATTAATTAGGTATGGAACAACCTACTATCTGCCCACAGAGTCCAGTAATTAGGTATGGAACAACCTACTATGGAACAACCTATGTCGGAAAATGTAAAGAATTTTTTCCTCACTTAAAAAAATTAGCATTTGAGGGTCCTAGGTCCACATATTCTTATATGTACTAATTTTTAGAAAATCATTTAAATTACTTTTTCTTTTTCTGTCCAATTTATTATTTAAAGATGATAATTTCCAAAATATATAAATCTATCTATATATTAAAACAAGACATTCGTATATATATATAGGGTGTTATAGGCTAAAAAAAAATTGAATTTTTTTTCCACGGGCAAGCCCGGGCCCTTCAGCTAGTATTTATTATATAAAGTTGTAAACTCTGTTTGTCTGATCCTAACTCAGGAACCCCTAAACCTATTTGCCTCAAATTTTGATTGGGGAACTTGGGAGAACCACGGGAATGTTCTTAGCTTGGTTTTGAAATTGTAATTTATGACCAAATGCAGGTAAACGGCGGGAGTAATTATGAGTACCCTGGGCAACGCTGGGTTCCCAAGCTAGTTAAACATAAAAACAAAGGATTTTATCAACCCGAAATCTAATTTGGATCAAAAATTTGGGAAAATTCCACCAAAATATACGACTCATAAAAGCCGGAACCAGGGACTAGGATTAAAACAATGAGTTTTGATAATTTCCAAACAATTTTGAGAATGCACGGAAATGTATTTAAAAAATCCTTTTTTGAGTTTTTTCTGATTTTTTTTTGGGGGGGGGGGTCGCGTTTCCATAACACTACTTTCACTACATTATCTGTCTCATCCCATTTAAATAAAAAACACAAATTGCTGACTCTAGTCTGCATTATCTTTTAGAATGTTCAGGTTTATCAGGTTTACCTTGTATTTCCACATTTTCCAGCTTTATTCCATCTTCAGGAATATCGACAAAACAAGTATCTTCTATAATGCGTTCCTTGACATCTGATTCTTTTTTTATATTCTCTTCCATTCTATCTGAAAAATAAAGTGATCATATGAAATACATTTTACTATTTCCAAATTCATATTTAGTTCATTTGATTTTGTTTCATGTTTATAGACATAATATAATCGCTATATACATAAAATTAAGCAAATAGTGTTTAAGAAGATAAAAATATGTTAAAAATGAAGTTCACTTGAGCTAAGTATTAATTTGGGAGATCTTATAAAAACAGTTAACATGATGTCTGAATAGGAGATTTTAGAATGTAATGCTCAGTTTTATAATGAAAATTTCCCTGTATGATAATTCAAGTATGGTTTAGGCAGCTGGAATCTTGTCAACCCTCTTCTCAGTATGAATGAAGCTTGGATGGATGAATGTGCTGCCAGATTACAACCACAGATTACAACAACAAAACTTTCGCAATAGAAAAATTCCGAGATTTGATCGTAACAACCCGATCATGTCCTGGGGACAAAAAAAATCTCTTTGAAAAAGATATATTTTAAAGAATTTTTTTCGGTTTTTAGGCAGTTGCTTTTTTATCTATTTCTTTGCAAAAATAGCTTTGTAAAAATTATAAGCGCGCCATATAAAAATCTGAACCTATCATGGAGGGTTTAAAATAGGGCCGATCAACTTTGACAAATGCACCTAGGTCGCAAATAAAAAGCAGATAAATCAACCAGCCCTAGACTGTTTAAACATTATATAAATAAACTTAACATTTTATTCAAGAAGAATAATACTATATATATATAATTATATGATTTTACTAGCTTTTCTTTTCTTTTGTTTTTATTTGTATTTTGACAAAATATATTTTTAATCATTAAATTATTCCATAATTTTTATATTTTCTTAGTTGAATTTTCGAGATTTTACGTTTTGTTATATAGAAATTAACCAGAAATTTTGCTTTTTATTTCAAATTGGGAAAATAAAAAGTATGCAGAAACTGAGAATTTACAACCGGAAACTGGCCAAAAATATGCGGAAACGAAAAAAAGGAAACCGAATTATTAACTTTTTCTAAAAACCGCGGACACTGACCAAAAATTTGCGGAATCGAATCGAAATGAATTGAGGTAACCGACAAACAAACTAATTTTTATTAACTTTTTCCGAAAACCGGAAACGTACCAAAAATATGGGGAAACGGGTCGATGAAAAAGGAAACCAATCAACAAACTCCGAATGTATTACTTTTTTTCTGAAAGCCGGAATCGGACCAAAATTATTTATTGCATTACAAGAAATTGTTTGTTTCTCCGATCATAATTTAGACTGATCTCCCTCAAATTTGATTGGGGAACTCGGGAGACCCACGAAATGTTCTTAGCTTGGTTTTGAGAATCTAAAATAAGTGGGTCGACTTTAAAAGCAAAATTTTTAATGAGGGGGGGGGCGTTTTTTAAAACTCTGCCTTTCTCTCATTTCATCTTCCATATTATCATCACTTTATTTCATTTTAAAGAATCTTCCCTTCATGCGTCTTCTATTAATCTTCCATATAATTTTTCTTCCCTTCGCTCCATCTTCACTTTATCTCATCTTACAGATAATCATTTTTTCCTTCATTCCATGTTTCATAAAATCTTCCTTCTCTTCATTCCATCTTCCATACAATCTTCCTTTCCTTCATTCCATATCTTCCCTTCATTTCATCTTCTATATAATCTTCGGTTCCTTCATTTCATCTTCCAAATAATCTTCCCTCCCTTCATTCTATCTTCAATAAAATCTTCCTTCCCTTCTTTCCATCTTCATATATTTTTCCTTTCCTTCATTCCATCTTCCATTAAATATCTTCCTTTCCTTCATTCCACCTTACACATAATCTTCCTTTCCTTCATTCCATTTTCCAAAAAATATCTTCTTTTCCTCCATATTATCTTTAAAAAATGCTCTTAAAAAAACATTGAACGGTACAGGACATATATTTATAAATACATACATCTATAATCAACAGACAATTCAGGCGAGGGGGAGGGGAGGAGGGGGACAAATATAGGGAAGTTTCAGGGGTGGGCATAATACAGAAAGGTTAATTACGAGAGGGGGGGGAGTATACAGGCAAGGTTGGTCAATAAGTTTGGACATACAATGGAATTCTAATTATTAAAGAATAAATTGGGGAAAAAACGCCCGACATTCAAGCTAACATTACATAATCATTCAATATTTATCCTAGGTCGCCATATTTTAGATTCAAGAAGCAAATTAGAAATTTTTTAACAAATAAGCGAGGGAGCATTAAAATTAAAAGAAACAAATCCCAGAAAATCTGGAAATATTCCGACTTCCTAAATAATGCTCAATCACTCAGAACGCACACGACAACTCTTAAAAATTCACCAACAATAACTGTATCTGGGGGATTAATTAAATAATGAACGCGAGAAAATACAATTTTTAGCAAAATTGATATTTAAAAATCAATCTCATATAAGAAAGTAAAGATTTTATAAAATATTTAGTATTGTTACACATTCACATATTTTACTACAAGTAATTTCAAGGGAGGGCTATAGGTAGATGGGGATAAAGGCATACATAAATAAATAAATAGATTTGGTTTCTCCAATCCTTTCAGTCATTCAATAAAGTTCAATAATATTCTTTGTGACATGGGAAGCTACTGCCAACATTAAAGAAAATGCGCTATTTTTGCGTTGGACAAAAATCCGCAAAATACTATTTCTCATAAAAGCAGAATTCATAACATGCCACTCATTGCTGGATTCATTTTGGCGGCATTACAATTAAGTTACAGTGGCGTGGCACATGTTAGAAAACAAATTTTTAAATATCTAAAAAGTTGACGAATTTCTTAAAGAAGGACAACAAAACATCTAAATGTAGAGCGAACCTTTAGTTCCTGATTGGACAACAACCAGTTTTAATAACTACAAAAAGTCAAAAAAATTGTTTTTAACAAATAAAATATGTAATAGACTATAAAACATAATAATATCAAGAACAATCCTATTAAAAATCCACGAAGAACTGTTCCGGAACAAGGGAAGATTAAATAGGAAGATGGTAACCCCAGTAAAAAAATTTAAGCGGAAAACAATGTCGTCTTCCACGACTAATTTGGCATTGTATAAATTTCAAGATAGTTGAAATTGTGCCCAGCTTTCTTGTGTGTCTAGATTTTAATTTGTGCGTTTAACAATATGTACGTTACGTTTGCACGGTGTACAAATTACATTAGGCCGTTTTAGTTATCTAGGCATTTTATTAAAACAGAAGTGTTACGAAAATCAAAAGTGGCAAAAATCCAAAACACAAGTTTTTGTTTAAACCCATACTTCGGTGTTAAATGGTGAGGGGCGAGGGGCATTAAACTTTATAAAACAGTAACTTTTGACTAGGATTTTTTTTAAAATCACCGTTAGCGTGGATTTAACCAAAGACAATAATATGACGCTAAATTTAAGAATAGTGAACACTTTCTTAGTTTCGATTTAGTTCTAAGATAAAATTAGGAAAAACAACGAATGTTTACATAACAATCAACGGTCGAAAATATATGCGTTTAAACTTCAATTTTCACAAGTTCAGAGATATCAAAATCTACGAAACTTTTTAGCTGAGAATTTTGAGTAGAAAAAAAATAAATAAAAAGAATGCGCGGAACCTAATCAATGATGTTACGAGCAAGAATGCAATAGGAAAAGGTTGCAATTACTGAAAAAATATTATTAAACCCCCAGTTTATAAATCCAGGGTTTCAAAGCAATTATCGCTAAAAAGCTTGGTTGGCTCAAATGCTGGGGAGAGTGGGTTTGCTCTAGGTTTAAGAAAAGAGCACTAGAAGATTGCTCTAGGTATTAGAAGAGCACTAAGAGGAATTTTCTCTAAGTATTGTTAGAGCAGACGAAAGAGCACTGATTCTTCAGGTTTATACTGTACACATTTACCATCTCCCACAGCAAATACTTTCCTAAACAACAAACTTATGAAAATCTGATAAGTCATCTATTCAGGAGTGTATACTTTCCTCAAGAGTGTATACATTCCTCGNGGGGGGTGTTAAAAGGCAAGTTTTTTCAATCTTTTCAATAATTCCAATGTGAAAAATTTTAACTCGATGCGATGCGATGAATATCTAGTAGAGTATATGTTTAATACTTACATGAATATCTAGTAGAGTATATGTTTAATACTTACATGAATATCTAGTAGAGTATATGTTTAATACTTACATGAATAATGAATATCTAGTAGAGTATAGGTTTAATACTTACATGAATATCTTGTAGAGTTTATGTTAATACTAACATGAATATCTAGTAGAGTATAGGTTTAGTACTAACATGAATATCTAGTAGAGTATATGTTTAATGCTTACACAAATATCTAGTAGAGTATGTTTAATACTCACATGGATATCTAGTAGAGTATAGGTTTAATACTAACATGAATATCTAGTAGAGTATATGTTTAATGCTTACACGAATATCTAGTAGAGTATGTTTAATACTAACATGAATATCTAGTAGAGTATAGGTTTAATGCTTACATGAATATCTAGTAGAGTATATGTTTAATGCTTACATGAATATCTAGTAGAGTATATGTTTAATACTTACATGAATATCTTGTAGAGTATATGTTAATACTAACATGAATATCTAGTAGAGTATATGTTTAATGCTTACACGAATATCTAGTAGAGTATATGTTTAATGTTTACATGAATATCTAGTAGAGTATGTTTAATACTTACATGAATATCTAGTAGAGTATATGTTTAATACTAACATGAATATCTAGTCGAGTAACATGAACATCTAGTAGAGTATAGGTTTATTACTTACATGAATATCTAGTAGAGTATAGGTTTAATACTTACATGAATATCTAGTAGAGTATAGGTTTAATACTCACATGAATATCTAGTAGAGTATAGGTTTAATACTAACATGAATATCTAGTAGAGTATATGTTGAATACTAACATGAATATTTAGTAGAGTATAGGTTTAATACTCACATGAATATCTAGTAGAGTATATGTTTAATGCTTACATGAATATCTAGTAGAGTGTTTCAATACTTACATGAATATCTAGTAGAGTATAGGTTTAATGCTTACATGAATATCTAGTGGAGTATATGTTTAATACTCACATGAATATCTAGTAGAGTAAAAGTTTAATGCTTCTTTGCTACGGTTGGACCTCCAGCGAGTAGTTTTCCGAACTCTGTATTCTGGAAACTAAATCCAGCAAACTCCTCCTATAGACAACAAAACATAGATTATCTATCCATAAAAAAAAACTAAATAACTAATTTATTAGTTAAATCAATCAATCAATCAACTAATCAATCAGTAAATGAACCAATCAATCAGCTAATCAATTAATCAGTTTATCAAGCAATCAAACAGTTATTAAAACAGTCAATCTGTTAATGAACCAATCAATCAATTATCAAGCCAATCAATCAATTAATGCCAATTAACAATTAATACCCAAATCAATCAACTAATGAACCAATCAATTATTTAATATATTAATTTACCAGTCAACTAACCAAACAACCAGTTTGAAGTTTAACTACCAATTTAATAAATCATGCAATTAAATTAACCAAACAACTAGTTTGCAGTTTAACTACCAATCTAATAAACCAATCAATTAACCAGATAAATAAACAAATAGTCAACCAACCACTCTATTCATACACTATGAACTACAACTATAAACTAACAACAACATATCAATAAATCATCAAACCAACCAACCAACTGATCAATCAATCATCAAACCAACCAACCAACAGATAAATTAATAATCAAACCAACCAATAGATCAATCAATCGTCAAACCAACCAATCAACAGATCAATCTATCATCAAACGATCAATCTATCATCAAACCAACCAACCAACAGATCAATCAATCATCAAACCAACCAACAGATCAATTAATAATCAAGCCAACCAAGAGATCAATCAATTATCAAACCAACCAACCAACGGATCAACTATGAAATAAATTAAACAACCAACAAACCAACCGACAAACCAATCGACTGACCAACCAATAGATCAATTAATCATCAAACCAACCAATCAATGGATCAACTAATAAAAAATCAAATCAACAAACTAACTAACCACCCAATCAACTAATCAACTAACAGATCAATCAATCATTAAACCTACCAACCAACGGATTCCAACCAACCAACTATGTAAGGACCTGGTTAATTGTTTTTAGTATCTCTATGTTGACTGGAGTTAGAACAGGATCCTCTTTGGTGAACTCGCTGTCAAAGTTCAGAGCATCTTTCCGGTTTTTCTGCAACAAAAAGTATTGAAAACTAACCCTTTCCTCAAGCCCAGAGAGGGGATAATGAATTATTGAGATAAAGTTGGTAGTGATTGAAAATCTTTTTATTAGGTCGTTTGTAACGTGGAGTAATAACAAAGTGGGAAAAAATCATGTTACAAAATAATTGAATACATTACATTATCTAAATTGCCTCCTCCAAAGACTAATTATAATTTGGACACCCTGTATACTGTATAGTGCAAGCAAGCTCCCCAAGTGAACAAAAAATTATTAAGAAAAGTTTAAAAATAAATCTTACAATTTTAGGTTTGAAGGGTGGTTTAACCTTCCTCTCTTCCAGTTCCTTCCACTTTACATCCCGGAAAAACGGATGATGCTTTATACTCTCTTCTCCTCCATGCGCCTAAGTAACAAATCAATCAATCAATTAATAAGTTATCATCTATTAATCAGTTAATCAGTTAATCAATCATAATCATCAATAATTGCTAATTGTTCTACCATATGCCTTAATCACAAAGCAATCAATAAAGTAATTATCATCAAAAAAACAATTAGCCAATCGACCAATCAATGGTGCATTGCCAATTGCTCTGTCATGTGCTTAATCGTACACCAATAAATCAACTTTCGATTAATCAAACAATCAATACATTCATTTTTTCAATCATTGGTGAATAGGCCTCTGGAATTAATGAATGATGGTTTAAACTCCATGATATGCCTAAATCACATAGCAATAAACCAATAAATCATTATTTCCTCAGTAGTAACAAATTCCGACAAAACTTACCCCATTTGAATAGATGAATCAATCAATCGATCAATGAATTAAAAATATCTATTAATCATTAAACAAATGATTCCATCAATGATGGTGTGCTGCTAATGATATCCGAAAAATAGGTTATGTTAGATACTTTCCTTAACAGTTAACCACCATGTGCCTTAATCACATATTAGTAAATCTATTTATAAATCAATCACCATTCAACAACCAGTCAATAAATGTCAATGATAATTGAAATGTAATCTTCTTTTCTAATTTGTGAACACTCCATTTAATACTGAAAAAATGTACCTTTATGCAACCAAGCCGTTTCGCTACATTCTTCTGCATGAACCCTTTAAGAATGCTGACTGCTTCCTAAATAAACAAAAGTTTTTAAAAAAACTAAAAATTTAATTTTTTTTGAAGTGATCAAGGATTATATTCAGTTAGATGAACAATCCCTTTAATGCAACAGTGTAAAAGTATATTCTACGATTTGAAGATTTTGGGAGAAAATGAAATATAAAAAATTTGACAAGTTTTCCCTTATTTTTGATACTTTTCAAACCAACAATTCCAAATATTTACTCACCCAATTTTAATTTTAAACCAAAACAGAAGGTTCCAAAAATAATATTTTGAAGGTNGTCTAATAAAACTGGATTCTTTCAATAATCAGCATCTTTTTGTAATTTCAAGCTTGGCCTAACCTTACTCAACCAGACAGGGTAAAGAACATCATCATGAAGGATAGACTCGAATAGATCGTCCTCGTTATCCGCCTCGAAGGGAGGCTGCCCCGCCATCATTTCGTACATGAGGACACCCAGGGCCCACCAGTCCACGCTTGCGCCGTAATCGTGTTCCTAAATATTTATTTCTTATTTCAAAGTTAGATTTTTTTTATTTTAACAAGACAAATTAAAGAGAGGCTAGAGGGTTGTTTAAATGCTCCATCTAAAAGGTTGCATGTTCGATTCACAACGGTTGGTTCAAAATTTAAATATTTGAACAACAATGTTGAATCTCTCGTTGTTTTTAATTTTGATAAGTATTAAATTTCTTACTTTTCTCTTTTGCATAAATCCGCGAGAAACTTTTATCAAGAAATTACGATTAACAACAATTGATTTTAAGCTACAAAACATCTGTTATAATTAACATCTTGACTTGAAAAAAAAAATCAATTTTTGACATTCAAATCAAATCAAATCAAATCAAATCAAATCAAATCAAATCAAATCAAATCAAATCAAATCAAATCAAATCAAATCAAATCAAATCAAATCATACTTTTCAGGAATTGCTTGAGACATCCTTCAAATAAGACGGAATTACAAATCCTTCTCTTAAGAAATAATTGTTTAAAGCAGAGCAGAGAATTATGAATGTGTGATGTGAATGCTATGTACAGCCGGCGCAACTATTATATTTAAATAGATTTAATATTTAGTCACCTTTATCAGCTTGGGTAAGATGAAATAGGTGACTTACTGACTTATCTTTTATTTTGACAGTTTATGAATTGCTAAATTTAGGAGGCCAATAGGGACACAGGAGGTCAATATTTGCCATGTGAAAAAATAAGACTAAAGCCCACATAAAGACTAAATTGGCAAGAAACCCCACATAAAGACTAAATTGGCAAGAAAACCCACATAAGACTAAAAGACAAAAGACTAAAAGACTAAAAGACTGAGGGGCATGGAAACCCACATGGTGGTATTCAGACTAAGGGACATGGGAACCCGCATGAAGACTAATTGTCAAGGGCAACATCACCGTGTTCTTCTATGAGTTTAAACTATTTAAATGAAATGATTTTTTTAAAATCTATGACGAACCTGTAAATAACTCCATGCCTATGCAGATACTGCAGAGCTAAAGTTACTTCAGCAGCGTAGAACCTAGAAAATTAGACTTGTAGAATAAGCAGCGTAGAACCTGGGAAATATTTATTTATATAATATAAAAAAAAATTCAAAAATAGAGTCCTTTTCAGTAGATTTTTTAAATCTACAAAATTAAACTTCTCAAAATCTTATTCGTTTTGAATACTAATTTGAAGCAGAGGAAATAAATATAATACAACTTTCTAAAATAATCAATCACTCAAAGGTTTGTGATCCAAAAGCTATTTTTAAGTTTTTTTTCTAGCAAAAACTCGAGTAAAGTCTAGTACGATCATGATAAATCTTTCGAAAATCTACATGAAGTGTTATATTTTTGTGAATGTGACCATATCAAGGAGTAATGGAACTAAAGTAAGGGGGGGTAAAATTTGTTTACATTCTACTATGTATTATGAGAGCTCTAAAACAAGTTCTATCATAAACAAATCACAGTTAATGTTAACCCCGGATTTAAGCCCTGCTTAGGACAACCGTTCCATGTTCACTACAGGGATACCCACAAAAGATGAGACTTCATTGACGACCTATATCTTTTTGAATATGACGATAGAAAGGTTAAATTAAGTCTTCTTTCTGGGAAAAAGTTTGTTTGGAGTACAATAAAGAATCTGACCAAGAAAGAAAGAATGTTACAGCTACAAGGAACCCTCAGTGCAAAAAGAGGACTGAATAAATTCCGTACAGTCGTCTCTGAAGTCTCATCCTTTGTGGGCATAAAACCCTGTATCTAATGGTATTGTTTACAAGCAAACTAGTTGCTGGAGTTTTATTCTGTAAAGTGTTTATGCTAACAAACCTACTCCCCACTCCTTGGTTCTATACTCAATGATTTAAAAGTGACTTCGGGACAAAATTATATTTTTTTCAAAAATTTCTAACACTAGGAAAAATTGGTTTATTAAAATTTCAAAAAACATTCTTGCATTTTAAAAGATTTTTTTAAATGGAATAGCGCAAGCATTAAAAAAAATACATCACTACAGGAGGTCGTTTTTTTAAAACATGCCAATATGTCACTGAATATTGCCCATTTGTTGGATTTTTCAAATATTGAAAATGGTTTGAACATTTTTGCATTCAATGTTTCTAGGCGGATTTTTTAATACACATATCGACATATTTTGAAAAATAAAAATTCGCTAAATGAATTTGAAAGTAAGGCGAAAATTTAATTTTTTTTTACTTTTAATTTTAAACTTTTAAGTCACGTGTGGGAAGGATCTGAACATTGTTATCAAAAAAGGGCTAAATGGTTCCACCCTTATTTAAAGTAATGCGTGATAATTACCTTGCCCTGGATTCATCAAACTTCCTGGCTCGTTGTATTTGAAACATTAGGTCTCCACCGTTCACAAACTCCATCACAAAAAACAATCGGTCCGGCGTCTGATCAAAATAGTAGTTAATAATAGAAAACTACAAGATCTGTCCAACAATTAATNTTTGAGGAAAATTGGTAAAGGGGTGAAGTTTTCAGACATGAAAACATCCAGACAGAAATACTTTTTATATATTACAGAATGATCATAGTCTATATTTATACTCTATATATGTGTCATTGTACACTCTACATCATCATCTTGGATGATTACATCTTTCTTCAAAACCTGAACAAACAAATATATTCAAATCAAGGTAATATATTTTTCAAACATTCAGTGATAAAAACTTGAAAAACTACAGCATAGGCGAACATTTTGTTTTGAAGGGAGATCAAATGTTTAACAGAAATGTTGTAGTTTTCTATGTTTGTTTGTATCAAATTATCAAAAAATGTCAAAAACCAATTTTTTGCGGAAATCCTCAAATGAAAACAAGATCATCTGGGAAGTCAAGATTATTACTAGAAATCGGAAAGAATGTTAGAGCCTAGGGATTTATCTAGAGATTTTGTGACTTCACTTTGTGGTAGATTTTAGGAACTTACACACTATTAGCGACAACTTCGATCTGCAAAGACACTATTTGTGGCAGATTTTACGGATTAAGATACTATTTAGGGAAGATTTTACGGATTAAGATGCTATTTAGGGAAGATTTTACGGATTAAGATGCTATTTAGGGCAGATTTTTTTTTTCGAAATTGTTAATTGGCATTTTTTGAATGTAATGGGTGTAAAATGTTCATCTGGAGTAGTTCAAGATGAACCCATGGTACAGTCTTGGTACAGTCATTGTACAGCCTTGGTAGAGATATTGTTATGCATGCCATTTTTTTTACAAAATGTTTTGACCTTGATAGCAAAGACCTCTTCTGTATCAATCTTCTCAGAGAGCATAACCTTGCCAAAGGAACCCTTGCCCAGAACCTAAATAATAATAATAATAATAATCATAATAATTAAAATGATAAAAATGTAAATAATTATGAATATAATAATAATAATAATAATTAAAATAATGATGGTCATAATAATGTTAAGAATAATAATTATGAAAATGAAAATAATGATGGTCATAATAATGTTAAGAATAATAATTATGAAAATGATGATAAGAATCATGAGGATAATAATGATATTAATAATAATGATGATAATAATTGTTTGATCAGAGTTTAATGATTATTATCATTATGGTTTTCCTACAAATAATTGATAATTTTAAGTTGCTGTAAAGTGTAAATCCATTAACAATTACAATTACTTGCGAATTTATCACTAAGACGCAGAAATGAATGACAAAAGTTTTTTTACGAAAAAAAGAAGATATATAATATTCTTCCTAGTCAAATAAAGGATTAATATTCTTAAGGTTTTAAATGATACATCACATGAAATTATGTGGACAGTCTCGTTAATCATCAAAAACTAATCTTATTGCTAGTTACCTTTAAAAACTTGAATTCTGCAAGTGAGGATTTGTTAAGTCCAGCTTGTTTGTTTACAAGATCTTGAAGACTGGTTATACCAACCTGAAAAGGACAGGGTCAGGAAGTACATGGAGGGGTTATGGGGTACATGGAGGGGTTATGGGGTACATGGAGGGGTTATGGAGTACATGGAGGGGTTATGGGGTACATGGAGGGGTTATGGGGTACATGGAAGGGTTATGGAGTACATGGAGGGGTTATGGAGTACATGGAGGGGTTATGGAGTACATGGAAGACATTATAGAGAACAATAAAGGATTATAGAGTACAAGAAGGGGTCATTTAGTACAAAAAAGGGTCATTTAGTACAAGAAGGGGTCATGAAGTACAAAAAAGTGTCATTTAGTACAAGAAAGGGTTATGAAGTACAAGAAAGGGTCAAGAAGTTCAAGAAAGGGTTATGAAGTGCAAGAAAGGGTCATGAAGTACAAGAAGGGGCCATGAAGTACCAGAAGAGGTCATGAAGTACAAGAAGGGGTCATGAAGTACAAGAAGGGGTCATGAAGTACAAGAAGGGGTCATGAAGTACAAGAAGGTGTCATGAAGTACAAAAAGGGGTCATGAAGTGCAAGAAGGGGTCAGGGAATACAAGAAGTGGTCTTGAAGTGTAAGAACGGGTTTGAGAATACAAGAAGCTGATGGGGTCATACGTACAAGAAGGTGTCATGCTGTCATACGTAGAAGACGAGGTAATACGTAAAGAAGGGTTCATGAGTTACAAGACAGGTCATGAAGTACAAGACAGGTCATGAAGTACAAAACGGGGTCATGAGGTACAAGAAGTGATCATGAAGTACAAGAATGGGTCATGAAGTACAAGACGGGGTCATGAAGTACAAGAAGTGTTTATGAAGTACAAGAATGGGTCATGAAGTACAAGACGGGGTCAGGGAGTTCTAATAGAGGGAATAGACAAAGAGGTTTCCTTCCCTGTTGATACTGGCCTTACCTTCTCCTTCTCCCCATCCTCCTTCCTCTTAATGCTCTGAGAAGGAGGAAGGTTTGCCATCCTATCCCTCATCTTACGATCCATCTCATGCTGTGCCTCAATCTAGACATAGACGTTTAGAAACAAGAAGTTACTAAACAGATCTTAAAGTAAAAGTTGAAAAAGATAATTAGTAAGTATATTAAACATAATGAAAGAATCGAAACTAAAAGTGTATGACTGAATAAAAAACAGGCTGAATTAAAAAAAAGTAATTAATGAATGTATGATTGAAGGATTGAATGTTTATACTTTTATAGAAGGAGGGATGAAAGGGTTTATGAATAAATGAACTGTTTAGTGTCCACCTGTAATTTGACCATCAAGTTCTCGTCCAATTCCTTCTCTGATTGAGAGACCGGCCCGCTGTCTGCCCCGGCAGCTGACCGATGTTTCATCTTAGGTTTAGGAAGGGACAATTTACCAACACTCATACCCTAAACACAATAAATCAATCAATCAGAGTAATTCAATCAGCCAATTTAAGTCAATAAACTAATTCATCCATCAATTCTTGTTGATCATGAAGTTGACAAAGCAATCAAACCAATCAATTCAAATCATATTAAACAGGGATTGCTTGAGGCATCCTTCTTTGGGGTTAGAGTTTCAATTCCTTCCAAATCAAACAATCAATTATTTAATCAAGACAAATTAATCAACCCTTGTAATAAAATTAAATTCAATAATTGTTCCAAGTACGTTTAACCAATTAATAAATCAATAAATTTAAAACAATAAATCTTTGAACAATTTTCGATCAAGCTCTTCAGGTTCTTCAAACCAACCAACCAACCAACCAACCAACCAAACAATCAATCAATCAATCAATCAATCAATCAATCAATCCAAGTCAATCAGTCCCATACTATCCGATTTGATTATCAAACAAGGTAAACCATGCCAATTGATGTCAACCGATCCATGTCAACCATTAGGTGAATTAATCAATTAATTAATCAAAGAATCTATGGCTGTTGTCAACGAAAAAATCTTTAAATGAAAAAATCTTTAAAGTTACCTTCTCCTGAAGAGATGTCAATCTACTTATATCCATCAACAGCAATCAATACGATCAGTTAATTAATCAATCAATCAATTAATCAATCAATCAATCAATCAATCAATCAATCAATCATGTCAACAACAAAAATTGGTATAATCACCATCTCCTGTAGAATATCTGCCATGTGCCGAGGGTTAATACCGCAGGTGTTGGCCACGTTCTCCTTGCACCTCTTATGCACGTTCATGTTGCACACTAGATAAATATATAGATAAATATATAATGGTTAGAGATAGAATAATAGAACGAAAAATAAATATTGTTTTTGGTAGACGGATAAATCAAAAGCTTAATAGATTTATAGATTTATAAATAGATAGATAGATAGATAGATAAATATATAAGTAGATAGTTAATTAGATCAAAAGTGGATGTTCATTTTATTTTTTGATGTGAGGATAGATAGAAATGGATATATACATGTAAATTAAAAGATATAGATGAATTAGTTGGTTGTTTAGATAGAAAGATAGATAGATAGATCCTACCTTTACACTGTAGCCCCTGCTTGAGAAGACCATAAAGCAAGGATCCGCAATGGTCACAGAACGTGAATGTGCGGTAACTGTGGATCTCAAACCTAGCAAACATTTATTAGTGTTGAAATAAAGTGCAGTTCCTTTTTCAATAAACATTTTCGTAGATTATTATAAAGTCGTCTTACCCATCATGCAAATCCACGGAAAATATAAAACAATTTAGAACGACATAATAAAACAGTTTACAGGAACTTTTCAAACATAATTTTGCTGGAGTCATTGAAATAAATGAGCAAGTACAACTGGTTTGACGATTTCACTATATTATCTATTCGGCGAGGGGGGGGGGGGCTGGGGGGGGAGGAGATTCCTAAAACCCGATCCGCAAAACGTTATAAAATTAATAATTTATAAAACGGTATTGTGGATTAATGCAACAACCGACCTGTGAGGAACATTGATCTTAAACCTAGCTCCACTATTGTCCTCCAGGGTTTCCTGAACTCCAGGGCATCTAAACAAAATAGGAAATGTATTTTTTACATTTTTCGTCTAAGTTAAGTGAAGCGATAAAATCAATTCAAGGAAAAAATAGTTATGTAGTATCTTTGTATTCAGTCCTGAAGAAGTGCATTTATGTATGTATGTATGTATGTATGTATGTATGTATGTATGTATGTATGTTTGTTTGTTTTTTTATTGCTCTGATTTTAAAAACATCTATCGAGTATTTGTTTATGTTTTAATTAGGTCAAATGATACATTTTCTAGGCAATAGTTCTAAGGATAAGCATACAAACATATATCAAATTTATTTTCTCAAAATTAAAAGTAAAATACCGTATTTGAGAAAAAATGTGAATTTTTGTTTATTTTTGGGTCGGTTTATCATATGAAAATAACAGAAGATAAGATTTTCTTGGATTAGCGACTCTTTCTTTAATTATTTCCTCTCAAATTCTGAAACTATTCTTTTTTTTTACTTATGAGCCCCTGAAATATTTAGATAACATTTATTGCTTTTGAAGTTTATAAAAACGAACAAGCTAGCACATTATCAGCAATTATTTATGTTTTAAAATAATAAATCAAAGATTTGTTTAAGTTTTAATCAAACAAATGAAGTAAACATTGATTTCTGAAGATGATGGCGGGGGGTGTACTTTGAAGTAACAAAGAATAAAATCAAAACATCTCAATATAATTTGGCCCGTTTGTCTTTTAGGATCCAATACGGCTAAACCGGGTCCAAAATTGTGGCAACTCAATCTAAAATGCGTCAATTTAAACCGAAAATGCGTCAATTTAAACCGAAAATGCGTCAATTTAAACCGAAAATGCGTCAATTTAAACCGAAAATTCCGTGCAAATTTCAGAGCAATGGAAAATGGGGAATTTCAGAGCAACGGTTATAATCTAAAATTGTTGATAGTAAAGGAGGCACGAAGCACTGTAAAAAAAGAAAATTTAATTTGTATTTTGCCAAGTCAAGTGTAAGGGATCTTGTTTCAATTCTAGTAATTACTGAATTTATGAATTAAACAAAAATACCCTTTGTGTAGTCTGTAGATGAGTCAGTTTATACAAACTGATTAATCAGACTTAACTAAATTTGTTTAAAGAAAGAAAGAAATCTAGTCATGTTTCTTAAGCATGTCCCACTCACACCAAGGCTTTTATCTGAGATATTATAAAATTCCTTTTTTCGAATATATATATACATAAAAATATATTGTAAGATTTAGACCTAGAGTGCCAACCCATCCCCCCCCCTCTCTCTCTAAGAAATTTTGATGAAAGAAGACTCCATGTATTCCCAATATTTTGGTATTTTTAGTTTAAAAACAAAAACATGAAATCGAACACTAAGTGCGCTACTAGACTAACATTAAGAGTTTCATAGCTCATAATTCAGGATTTAAATTAGTAATTTTTAACAATAATAAAGCAAATACAATTTTGATTTTGATTTTCTTGTATAATACTTTTTACTGAACAAACCTTTCACTTTCTCCAAATGTTTGCAAACCCCTTTATTCCTATCAAAGTGGGGAAAAAGAGTGGGGTTAAATGAGTTTTTCAAAAACAATAACTGATATCAAGATATGGAAAGGTGTGGTTTTCAATTATAAATCCTTAAATAAATTAAAATTGCCAAGAGTGGATATCGAGATCACGCAAACGGGATTGTGAGAATCCAACACAAAAGTTTCCAACTCAGAAGCTATTTTAGTAAGTAAGCAAGATGTTATTTGAGAAGCGCGTAATATTCAACATAAACTTGCGTGCGCGCGTAAACGAGGATCTGAACGCACGTTTACCTCGTAATTATGAGCTCGTGACATCTTTTGTGCACAACGCATACGCACACCTGGCATTGGTAACCCTGCTTTCCTAGGCCCCTGAAATCAATCAATCAATCAATCAACTAATCAATATAAATCAATAAATCAACCATGCAATGTGTCAATAAAAAAGTTATTTTAATCTATTAGTAAAATCAATTAATCAATATCATGTTTCCTGCTAAAGTTACAGACCCGGATCTCGAGAGCTACTATGTTACAGACTCGGATTTCGAGAACTACTAAGGTTAAGTTACGATGAAGGGTCCGGATACGAAGCATGACATAAGAAGAAAACAACAATTGTTACTCACCAAATAAAATCTTTACAATGAGAGCAGAAGGTCGGCTGCTTCAGGTAGACTGCCATAAACTTATGCCCGTTTACCTTGAGTCAAATTTCTAATTATTATTATTTTTTAAAAACCGCCATTAAATACTGAACTTAAATACCCAGCTTTGTCTGGAATATTAGCCAACCTACTCAACTTAGAATTGTTAAACTATACTAAGAACGTTCCTGTGATTCTACCGAGTTTTCCCAATCCAAATTTGAGGAAAATTGGTAAAGGGGTGAAGTTTTCAGACATGAAAACATCCAGACAGAAATACTTTTTATATATTACAGAATGATCAATGATCATAGTCTATATTTATACTCTATATATGATAAATTACCAATATTTGTTTCTTTGTTTGGATTTATGGCTATAGCTCATGAACCCATAGAATGATTTGCTTTATTGGGGAACTGGGTAAAACAGAGAAATGTCTTTAGTCTGGTTAAATTACTTGTTGAGTGAGTTGACCTTTAATAAAAAAACTCCAAGCAAAGCTGGGCTTTCAAGATGGAAATTGCTAAAACTTTGTGATGAACACTCCAGTTGGAAATTTCATAATTTTCACAGCTCGAAAAATTACTTACTGATTTGAAGAATATTTAACTTTCTTTTTTTATCAGGAATAGTATTCAATATTTAAAGTGTAGTGTTTAAATTGTCGTTTTTAATGGGACACACTGTAATTAAAAAATATATATATTCTAGATAACAATAATTTTATCAAATTTCAATTTCAGTTTTTCAATAATTTCATCCGAGTTGGCATTTTCTTTAATCTCTAGATTCCGGTGGTGGCCCAGAAACTTGAACTATATGTTACAATGAGTGTACTATAAACTTGGTTGCGGAATGGGGAATAACAGAAAAAAGTCGAACCGGTCCAAGTGGAATAGGTGGTATTGAAGTAGGGGAGGGGAAGGTAGGGAGTAATGAGGGTGATTACCTGGAAGGAACGGGCAGGCTGGTTTTGCTCCTCCTGAGTTGCCCAAATTATCTCAACTTTCACATGTAGTTTACCCTGAAAATAGACCGGATAATCACAATGATGATAATAATAATGATGTTGTTGTTGATGATGTTAATGATGTTGATGATAATGATGATAATGATTATGGTGATCATGATGATTTTGAGTATCATGAGTATGATAAGTAGTATGACAAGTGACAAATGGTAAGTGAGAAATAAAAATGAAAAATGACCGTTCGTAATAATTGAACTCTGACCACCGTAGGCTTACCTTAGGTTCTAGGTTGACCCAAATATCATGAACAGGTTGAGCTTCTTTCTCAATAAGCTCGGCCAGGGGGATCTTACAGTTGGCGATAAAATCATCTAAACAAAGAAATTGAGGTTTATGTGGTAAAATTGAGAAAGTAGGATTTTGAGGGAATTCATAAGTCATCTAAAAATTTGGGAAATTAGTACAGAAAAAATAGATATCATGTAACTTTAACCAGTATAACCACATATAATCTTTAAAAAAAATGTGGCAATAAAGTTATCAATATTTAGAAATTAATTGTCTTGTGCCAATATTCTTTTCTTAACATAGAGAAATCAACGTTTGTGTAGTAATGATACCATTTAAAATCCAGACATTCTGGTTTGATTGGCAACAAAAACATATGAACAACAAAAATTAACAACAGTCGTCGAGCAAATTATAGACGTTCCGTTTTTGACGAGGAAATCCAAAAAATGTATTGAATTTGGTTCCGTCATATCAAAATATATGGTTTACCTGGGGGCACGGTTGCATCGTGAAAGACTGTAAACCCAATCTCCTCTGCAGAACGGAGCAGGTCTGTGTCAAAGACTTCGTTCCAGTCCGGGTCCCGCGTCTTTTGCTTGGTCGAGGTCCTTTCAACGAAAACCTAAAAATTTGTTTAATCTATATGAAATGTCTCATTCCCCCCCCCCCCCTTCAAACTAAAGTAAATTGCACGTTTTTTTGAATTTCTAGTATTTACTAATATTTTTGCTTATTTTACAGAATTATTGTTTTTTATCGTCAAAATTTTATAAAAATTAAAAATATCATTAATAACGCCTCCTATATTTCATATTATACCCAAGAGTAAAAGAAGCTACTAGTGTGATGGCAACAAGCTTTAAAAAAATATGTTAAAAATATACAATAATTTATGTCTATAGTGAAATGAGCATAAATGTACTTTTCAAGTTTAAGTCGTAATTTTAAAAGTTGTTATCGGCATGAGCAATATTACAGTTCTTTAAACACGTTAAGACAATATTAGACAGAAGAGAAAACCGATACCGGATCCGTATCCAGAGCCCGCGATTTAAAAACTTTGACTCGAGCAGTAATTCCTTAAACCCGACTTTAAGACCGAATCTTCGACCCAACTCTGAAGACAGCTTATGATTGACGTGATTGACAGCTGCAAGATCTACGGCTCAATTTAAGGAGTTTTTTATGCTGAAACTTGATGAACCATACAAACTCAGAGATTTGGAAGTTTTTTAATAATTTTCCATTAGTTGAGAGCTAAGATTCTTTTTTCGAGAGCAAACAGTTTTTTGCGGATACGTTGATCCAGGTAGCCAAAATACTGTGGATCCAGGTAGCCAAAATACTGTGGATCCAACGGATTCGGCATGATAAAAGATTTACGGGTTTCAGTAAAAATCCCAAATGAATTAGTTAAAACAGACAGAAAATGATTTTTTTTGGAGGGGGAGGGGTACCTCGTCGACGTCAATCGCTACATAAGGGTCAAGATCAGGTTTCTTCTCCTTCTCAAAATTCAGCCTGGTACGAACATTCATTCATTACATTAAACATTTTCCTCCGAATCTAGTTAGATCCAATAATTTAAAACTGTACTCTGTAAAAGTTTGCTTTTGTAATATTTTTATTAAAGAGTCAAAGTTTGGCATAGTGTAATCTATATATAAATTTGGCTTGTCTGTCTGTTTGTATCCAATAAACGTCAAAACGGCTGAACCGATCGGGCCCAAATTTTTTGTGGGACATCTAGGGACCCCAGGGAAGGGTTTATGAAAAATCAAAATTTTAAAAATTTGTGTTTAAAAGTTTTTTTTTGTTGTAAAATTTTGAAAATGCGCGAAAAAATATTATGAAATCCGCAAACTTTTTTTGTTTTTGTTTTATACTGTACAAAGAGAAGATGCTCACAGATAAAGCCACAATTAAAAGTTTAAATAGAAGATGGGCGCGAAGCGCCCTAAAAGCCTAGAAAGAAGGGCGCGAGAATTTCTAGTTATAGCAAAAAGGAACAATTTTGAAATTTGAAAAACTTTTTGGTGGAACCTTTTAAAATGCCAAAAACCTTAAACGTATTTCAAAAACTATGTTATGTTTAACCCTATATATATAAAGTAGAAGTCTCACTTTGTATGTCTGTCTGTAAGTCTGTTTGTTTGTATATCCGATTTAAACTCATAAACCCTCTGACTGATTTGCCTCAAATTTTGATTTGGGAACTCGGGAGAACCAAAGAAATGACTTAGCTTTGAAAATTCTAAGTTGACTTGGTAGACTTTCATTGGTAAAACATTTGTTTAAAAGAAAAATAAGTACAGGGTGTCCCAATAAACATGGCAATTAAATGGCGACTTCGATCTATATCGTCTTAAATCAGCGAGGCTTATTTCGTGACACAAAGTTAAGAAATATTCAAGTTAAAATAATATACATAAAAATTATGTTTTACTCATTTTTGCACCCTCAATGTTGACAGAGATGTTGAGAAATATATTTACATCGGCCAATTAATAAAAAACTACAATATTTTTTCTAATGTTTAATATCTCCGTAAATTTCTTATTTTGAATATGAACCTCTTGACATATCTGTCTATAGTTCTGGGGAGAACTTAAAACATTTAAGTTGAGTGGATTTACTTTTTAAGAGAAAGATTCCGGCCAAATCTGGGTTCCCAAGCTGTTCATTTGAAATTAAAAAGAAGAAAAATCTGGAGATAAATGTAAGAATAAATGAATAAATGCCTAGTCATGAAGTTCGTTTGCTGAAGCTCAGCGGCCCCACACACAGAAACCTAATAAATTAATAGTATTATTATTTTTAATAATCTATTTATTTCCCCTCTCCCCCCCCCCCCCTAAATAAGCCGAGGTAAGAAAAGGATTGTTGGCTCCCATTACATGTACTATTTATCAATGTGAAATGAGAGAGGAGGGGTGAAATATCAACAAAAACTTGGGAAAACCATTTATTAGAGGGAAAAACACTCAGAGGCGTACTCAGGGGGCTATGAAGGCTCACCTCCCCCCCCTGGTTCAGTAAAATCTATGGTTTCCAGGGGGTTTATTTTTTTCTGCCGGGCGCTGCGGTCACATGAAATTATACCCATGTGTTACAATCCATGTACAAAATTGATAGGAGAGGGGGGGGGTCCAATAATCGTATTAGGATATTACCAATTTTGTTGATACAAAGAATAAATGTTAAAAACACAATATTTTAGGTACTCGTAGTTCCAAATCTTTTACTTTTGAACTTAAATTCCCAAAATTTTAAACAGAAATATACAATCAAATTATTTGTAATCAACTGCAACAACAAAAAGAAAATATGAAAAAAAATGTAGAAAAACAATTACCTTCAATCGTCCGTTAAACATATTGATCCTAAATTAAGTTCGTCTGTTCGAAAATCCAAATGTTTTCAAACTTGAAAAAGAAATATCTACTCTCGAATCATTTTAAAAACACTTTTTCTGAAATGTATATTTACAATCGTAAATCTAAAGGTTAACACTCGCAATAAAAACATATTTTTCGGATTGAGATGAAAAATATTTATCATTTTTTAAAATTACTTATTTTTACTTCAGTCAATTTCTTCTTAATCACTTAAAAAAAACCTGCAATCAGTAAAAATCCACAAAACAAGTTATTTTTACGTTCTAAATCACCTTCTCATAACAAACTGCTTAACATACGATGACGTAATGAAAAATGGAGGCTATAGGAAAGGGGAGAGTATTTTAACTGCTTTCTTCTGTGCATGAGCCACCTAGCGGCCAGTTTATAATATAAACCCAGAAAAGGATAAGCTTTCAATATCGTTCGTTCAGGCCCTTGCCCCCTTTTACATTTATAAAGAATAAAAATTAAAACAATAATTTACGGGTTTGTGAAATTTTTTCAAACTTTACTCATACTTTATTTGATAAAATACTTGAATTCAATTCTTGTGAATTCATATCATATGATATATTCATGATATATCCACTAACCGGAATGTATCCTATAAATGCGTATGACATTCGACTCTGTACGTATTTTTAGTTTTGGAATGCGTAAAAATACGTGTTTTCCATACGTATTTTCGTAACCATTTCCGTGGATGCTGGGCGCTGGCATGTTTGAACTCCCGAGACCGCCGTTTGAACGTATTACCACTGTAATGTACAAGACGCGTAGAGACGTCACTGCAGCTGAATCTCTTATATTAAATGACATCACTTTGACATCATTTAACAAAACTTTTTTTGAAGACGTTTTCTTAATGGATTTTTACATCTTTTTACGTTTTTATTTCAAGATCAAATATCATCACTAAAACATAGGCCATAAAGTGATTCTATTTAAAATGGAAAAAAATAGCAAAATTTAAATTATAAAACACTAAATTTTTGATGGCGTCATATGACGTTATTTAAATGTAATTTTTTCCTCTCTTCTTTTCTTCTTTTCTTCTTCTCGAGTTCACTTGTTCTCTTGTTCTCTTCTTCTCGTTATGTTTACTCTTCTCATTTACTCTTCTAGTCTTCTAGTCTTCTAGTTTTCTAGTCTTCTAGTCTTCTAGTCTTCTAGTCTTCTAGTCTTCTAGTCTTCTAGTCTTCTAGTCTTTTAGTCTTCTAGTCTTCTTGTCCTCTAGTCTTCTAGTCGATTCTAGTTTTCTAGTCTCCTGGTCTTCTAGTCTTCTAGTCTTCTAATCTTTTATTCTTCTGGTCTTCTAGTCTTCATAGTCTTCTACTCTTCTACTCTCTATAGTCTTCTATTCTTCTATTCTTCTATTCTTCTAGTCTTCTAGTCTAATTTAGTTACTTAGTGTACTAGTCTACTAGTCATCTAGTTGTCTAGTCTTGTGGTCTGATAGTCTTCTACAGTCTTCTAATCTTCTAATCTTCTATTCTTCAACTAGATATTAAGATTTTTCTATTTTGTTGGAGAGATGATATATTTCACATTTGAAGCCCAGACTATGGGGCCATGGATGGGAATGCATAATGTGGATGGAATTTTCAGCAACGTTATGACGATTCTATGGAAACATATTGAAGATAATCTAATAACACCAAGTCAAAAAAGAAATCAATATAATCTTTATTTGTGATAAATATTTAGATTTGTTTCATAATAACATTTACTCTTATTTAAATAATACATTTACAACTTTTTGTCATTTGTATTCAGTAACAAGGGACGTTATCATAATGTTATTGGACATTATTTTGACGTCATTTAAAAGTAAAACAAAATTAATGAAACGTCATAACAATGTTCCTATACATAATTTTGACTTCATTTAAATGTTTCGTGACATTATTTGAACGTCATTGAAATGTTTTAAGTGACATTATTTGAAGGTCATTGGGATGTCAGGTATCGTAAATACGGATCTCATTTTGGGTATTGTAACGTCAAAACAGAATGAACAAAACAAATGCCAGAATGATTTATACTCTACGCAGTCTAAAAATAAGAAATGCAACTTTTATTTTCTCAAATTTAAGCTTTGTTAAATTCTTTTTTTTCGTTTACATTTTCATCCTCTTTTTGAAACTTTTTAATTAGTTTAACCGCTGAGATAATAAAGTTTTTTGCTTTTAACCGCTGGGTTTCAGATTTGTTCACTACTTTTTGCTTCAATCTATGGAACAAAGTTTTTCTTAAAATACTGCTGAAATAATTTATTTTTGTAAGCAACTTTTTTTCTTTCATCGCTGCAGATTAAAGTTTTTTAGCAACTTTTTTAGATCAACCACTGGGTTTAAGATTTTCAGCAACCTTTAGCATTCAACCGCCAAGGTTTAAAGTTTTTTCAACATCTTTTTTCTTACAACAGCTGGGTTTAAAAACTTCAACAAATTTTTGCATTCAATCAATGGAACAAAGTTTTCTTAAAACACCATGCTGAGATTTGAAATAATTTATTTGCTTTAATCGCTGGTTTAAAGTTTTTTTCAGCAACTTTTTTCTTTCAACCGTTGGTTTTAAGATTTGTCAGCAACTTTTTAGCTTTCAACCAATGGGTTTAAGATTTATCAGTAACGTTTTATCTTTCAACTGCTGGTTTTAAATTTTTCAGCAACTTTTTTTCTTTCAACCGCTCGGTTTTAGATTTTCAACCAATTTTTGCTTTCAAACAATGGAACAAAGTTTTTTTAAAAATACTGCTGGGTTTATGATTTCAAATATTTTTTTTTATCTGCTGGGTTTACAATTTTCAGCACCTTTTTATCTTTCAACCACTGGTTTTAAGATTTATTCAGCAACTTTTTTTCTTTCAACCGCTGGGTTAAAGATTTTAAATAAATTTTGCTTTTAATCAATGGAACAAAGTTTTTCTTAAAATACTGCTGGGTTTAAGATTTGAAGTAAATTTGTTGCTTTCAATCGCTGGTTTTAAGTTTGTTCAATACCTTTTTTTTCTTTCAACCTTAATCTGTTTTTAATTTTAAGAAAACTTTGTTCTATTTATTAAAAGAAAACATTTGTTGAACATCTTTCAAATCTTAAACCCAGCAGTTCTTTAAGAAAAACTTTGTTCCGCAGTGCTCTCATACTATTTTCTACACTCTACACCCATCATATTTCCTACACTCTACTCCCATCATATTTTCTACACTCTACTCCCATCATATTTTCTACACTCTACTCTCATCATATTTTCTACACTCTACTCTCATCATATTTTCTACACTCTACTCTCATCATATTATTTACACTCTACTCTCATTATATTTTCTACACTCTACTCTCATCATATTTCCTACACTCTACTCTCATAATATTATTTACACTCTACTCACATAATATTTTCTGCCCTCTACTCTCATCATTTTTTCTACCCTCTACTCCTGTCATATTTTCTACACTCTACTCCCATCATATTTTCTACCCTCTACTCGCATCATGTTTTCTAAACTCCACTCCCATCATATTTTCTACACTCAACTCTCATCACATTTTCTACTCTCTACACTCTTCATATTTTCTACCCTCTACTCTCGATTTGCATTTTTTTTACATTAATCTAAATATCTTTATCTTTAAACAGTGATCAATTCAAATTTTTGATCTGGTTTTTCAAAAAAGAAACAAGTTTGCAATGTTTTTTAAAATGGCTCGGACCAGAATAAGATGTTCAAGCTATAATTAAATAACATTTTAGAATTAACTTTAATTTATTTTCTAAATAAAACATTATGAAATTCTTTAGTTAGGCAAGGTTATACAAACAGTATTAAATCGAATAAACGTTTACATAAATTAACATTTCACAAGTTTTGGTAAAATTACATTTTGGTAAAATTAAATTTTGGTTAAATTACATTTTGGTAAGTACATTTGACTTTGGCCTAAAAGCATCTTAAGTTTTGAAAGTTGTAATAAGCATAAGAATTATAAGCGATAACACAAATTAAGATTACGGGTTAGCTGGTCCTTAATTTGAAGGTGTTGTTCCATCCCTGATTCACAACTGTACCCTTTTAAAACCCTTGAACAAACATAATTAACACTTTCTTGTTTTTCTAATTCAAAGGTAATACTTTTGAATAAGTGAATTCCAGATGAATGCATAATGCAGCAGAAACAAGGAATGAAATTGTCATGATAAATGACGACTATATCTTTATCCTTGACAAAGAAAATGCTTAAAAGGGTACCGTTGTGGATCGTATATGGACCTATTTTAAATACATGGTAACTGGAAATGACGTTGTAAATAATCAAAAAAAATATTTAGTAAAAAACTTCTTTAAAAATTCTATCTTGACATCTTACTATTTCTAAAAATTTTAGATTTAAAATGTAAAATTGGTTTTTGTTTACCATGTTTATCGTATATTGTCATGCATAATGTATATCAAACATAAAAAATAGCATAATCTTGTTTTAAAGACTTATGAATATTTATAAAATTACTAATTTTACTAAACTAGTAAATGACATGCTATGATGTAGCGGTCATATATGTAATTCAGAAAGGAATAGACAAGTAAACTAGTAAATGACCTGCTATGATGTAGCGGTCAAATATGTAATTCAGAATGGAATAGACAAGTAAACTAGTAAATGACATGCTATGATGTAGCGGTCATATATATGTAATTCAGAAAGGAATAGACAAGTAAACTAGTAAATGGCTTACTGTCCACTGTCCCTAAGTCCAGCCAAGTTTAAAGATTATATTCCTGATTTTAAGAAACAGAAAATAATAAAGATTTCTCATAAATGCGTGAATGGGATGTAGGTTAGTCTAATGTTTTTAATCTTCTAAAGAATCATTGTCTGATTTTCTGACTGGGTCAAGATTGTGGTTATCTATATATATATACTTTGCTTGTCTGTCTGTTTGTATCCAATAAACTTGACGGCTGAACCGATCGGGCCCAAATTATTTGTAGACCTCGCATGACCCCAGATAAGGTTTATGGATGGTCAAATTTTCAAAATCGTGCATCTAACAAAATTCGATTTTTGAAAATTTTGAAAATAATGACTTCTTTTTATAAATTTCACGAAATGTTTTGTTTGTTTTGTTTTACAATGTACACAAAGAGAACATGTTCACTATTGAAATAGAATAAAAACCTAACTTTATAAAGTTGAACACGATTCTTAGAACTGTTAACCCAATCCCATAGTGGGGATGGGTTGGGAAGAAGGAGGGAAGGAGGGGGAGTAGAAATGGGTTAACATCAAAACTACATAAAGAAGGAGAAAAAAAAATTTAATTTCCGCATTTTGGTAAACTTTAAATCAACAAAAAAATTAATGAATTTATAAATCCGAGGTTTAAAAAAAATGATTTTAAAATATGTAAAACTTAACCTTCTTAATTACTGAATCCTTAGTGGGAAAAGCTTTAAAGTTATCAAGTACAAAAGTTATGAAACTATAACATTTACAAAATCTATTATTATGTCTCTTGATATTTCAAACTGGCGTCCCACCCTCGTGTGTCAATCGGATCTGCTAACCCACCATGGTTCAAGAAATCATGATTCGTATAATTTCTCTACCTTCTCCTGGTATTTCTTTAGTACAGCATGCCTCTTCACCTATTTATACAAATATATTTTTATTTTGATATTTTTAAACCTCTTTTTCATGTTTTATGTATTTTTAACTTAGGTTAAATTTCATGCAAATAAAATAAGCATTTCCCATGTTTTTAATGTTATCTATAATCTTGGAAATTTCGACTTCTTTCCTGTGAACTAGAAAGCAGGGACCAAATTTATGCGACATTTCTAGTACGACTTTGTGGAAATCTTAGCTCCTCTAGCTAAGATTTCTAGTACGACTTTGTGGAAATCTTAGCTCCTCTAGCTAAGATTTTATGCAAAAGAAAATGTATCAAGTTAAATATATGAAATTCAAAACATTATATTTCTTAACAATAGCTATTCAAATAAAGGAGGTATGATTACAATTTATAAAATATTAATCTTCCGTTCAGTTTGTTTCAGTTTGACGTAGTGTCATGAGAACTTTTTTCAAGAACGCAAGGGTGGCTGACTTCTTTCCGGCAATTAAAAAAATTGTTAACCCCCCTCTCTCGTAAGAAATGGCTCCCACCCTGGAATTTTAAAGAAGGAATTTGTTCATTTTTATTTCAAAACCATGATAAGCCAAATTTTGGATTTATATAATATTTTATACATATCTTGATTTTGATTGATTTAGTGGCACCGCAGGGAAGTTTTTTAATATTTTCTTGAAAATCAAAATTAAAAGGCTATAAGATACCTGCTCTCTCTTTTTGCGCCCTTAATCTTTCCAGAGGGACGTTCCCGCCCCACCCCCCCCCACTGTATAAACGTCTTGAGTACACGTAATTTGGAACTGGAGAATATCTTGACCGTTATATCTCCGGAGAAGTACAAAGTACGGACATTATTTAGAAAAGATTAATCCCATGTGTACCTTCATGGTGGGTCCTATCTCCCCTCCAGGAATAGAGAAGTCTGCAGGAAGTATCATCCATTTCTGAATACGCTGCGCATTAGAGGTCGCCCTCTTATTGTACCTAGAAATAAAACAAATGAAAAAAGAATTGGATAAAAATAATAATGAACTAACCCAGTTGCGTAAATACCACTACATCATGGCCGTACACTGTCTATTTGTCTATTTCTTTCTAAATAGCATCAATGACCGTCCCATCAAAGTTGACTATCTATTTCATTCTGCATTACATATATGACTGCTACATCATATACAGTCATTTACTAGTTTAACTGTCTATTCCATTCTGAATTACATATTTGACCGCTACATCATAGCATGTCATTTACTAGTTTACTTGTCTATTCCATTCTGAATTACATATTTGACCGCTACATTAGCCAGTCATTTTTTGGTTTACCTATCTATTCTATTCTGAATTGCATATGACCGCTGTACATCATAGCCGGTCATTACTGGGTTACCTGTCATTTCCTTTCTGAATTACATCTATAACCGCTATATCTTATTGACCATGTCTACCTTTCTGAATTGCATATGACCACTTTATCTTGGTCGGTCATTAACCATTTTTACCTGTCTAACACTTTCTGAATGGTATCCATGACCGCTGTATCAGGGCCGGTTATTGACCATGTTTACCTGTCCATTCCTTTCTGAATAGCATCCATGACCGCTACATCAGGGCCGGTCAGAACGTCCTCCACTGTTTCTGCTTTACTTCCTAAGGTAAATACTATTGGTATCTTTATCCCTAATTTTTTTTACGAGAGGTATGATCTAAAAAGAGAATTTGCATCTGGTCCCTGATATGCTTCCGATTGATTTTTAAAATGTTGCATGAAATTCCGGACTATTTAAAAAAAGATTTGTTTTTAATGGTGATTAGCAATAAGGCCTTTTTTTACATGTAAAATGTAAGACTTCAGATATCCTTTATGATTAAAGGGTAAATGATAGGACATAAACCTGAGAATTTTAAATGCACGAAAAGTTCCAACAACCCTTTTCATTCTTTTTTGGGGACTGTATATACTTCTGTATATTCAACCTACCTACACTCTTGCACCATTCTATTGTATCATCGGTCATCTTACTCCTTGGTTCAAGGGTTTCCTGATCAACCTAAATAAAATCTTTTATTTGTAAAAATTAATCGAAATTTAAATTGATTTCTTCAAGGGACTATCTTTGTAGTTTCAATTATAGAGTGGTATGCCTGATTCGCAGTGTCTCCAATAAAAATCATTATTTAATTTATATTGATAAAAGATATTGTCGTTTTTCAATATTGAAAAATGTTTTATTGAAGATTTGGGGAAAAAGAAAACTAGGAAATAAAAATCCAAGTTTTTTATCCTTTTTCATACTTTTTACTAATTTTCCTCACTTCAGCAAATAAAACCTTAAAAACCCCATACTTTTGGTGAAAAATGATTTTTAAAAGGAAAGAGGGGGGATGATTTTCAGGAAAATATACACCCCTGAAAATCGGGCCTTACTTCAACTTTGAGGGTGACTAGACAGGACAAAAACTTCTTCCTGTCTCCTATCAGCATTACGTGGGATAGACAGGGTAGTTCATTCTTCACCTAAATATAAACAAAATTGAATAAAAAAACATGGAAGCCACTAGAAAGTGCGCAAACTCACAAGAAATACCACAGGGATGCCAACAAAAAATAAAACATCAATGGATTAGACTTCAGAGACACCTGTAAGGAATTTAAACCATCCGTTTCCTTTTTTTTTTTTGATTCCCTGCATTATCAATTTATTTTTTTCTTCGCCAAATTATTAAATATGGTATTTAAAGACAACGCTCAAGGCAGAGACTTCATTTATACATGGAATATTTGCAGAGTTTCAAGTCGTCTTACAGTCTCATCCTTTGTGGGTACGTAGCTACTAAAATAGGAACAAATAGACGCAACATTTTTGTCAGAAAAGAATTACCATATTTTCAATGATAAAGGGGGGAACATTCTCTCCTCCAGCTGTAATCAAGATTTCCTAAACAAACTATATTTTAAGTAAAACAATTTTTATAAAAAAAAAAAAATTTCTATCCGAAGTTGTTAGCTAGTCTTAAAGTATGACATTTTTATTGACACGGAGTTTAAGAACTATGCTACAAAGTCTTAACTCAATATCCAGAGCAGAAACTTTTGATTTGAGAAGATTAACTAAAAATTCTCAAGTTTTCAAAAATCAATCTTATTTATTGATTAAAAGAGAACCGACTTAATGTTTTTCACATAGACAAAACATTCAAAAGTTGCAGCTTTGCTTTGAATAGTAGCTGTACCTTAATCCGTCCTGTAATGATAAAGAATCCATCTTGATCCTGTTTTCCAACGTCACCAGAGTGATGCCAACCGTCACCATCAAACACCTAGAAATGACAATATGATGCCAACCGTAACCATCAAACACCAAGAAATGACAATATGATTCCATCCGTCACCATCAAACACTATAGAAATGACAATATGAATCCAACAGTAACCATGACACACTAAGAAATGACAATGTGATACCAACCGTAACCATGATACACCAAGAAATGACAATATAATGCCAACCGTAACCATGATACACTAAGAAATGACAATATGATACCAACCGTAACCATGAAACACCAAGAAATGACAATATAATGCCAACCATAACCATGAAACACTAAGAAATGTCAATGTGATACCAACCGTAACCATCTAACACCTAGAAATGACAATGTGATACCAACCGTAACCATGATACACTAAGAAATGACAATATGATACCAACCGTAACCATGAAACACTAAGAAATGACAATATGATGCCAACCGTCACCATCAAACACCTAGAAATGACAATATAATGCCAACCGTAACCATGAAACACTAAGAAATGACAATATAATGCCAACCGTCACCATGAAACACTAAGAAATGTCAATATGATGCCAACCGTAACCATCAAAAACCTAGAAATAATATTTGAAAGCTTTGCCTGATCAAGAATTAATGAGATATCCATGTTTTTGTAATTTGAAAATGTTGAAAAATTTACGGGCACTGTCTTAGTAATTTCAAATGACCCTCCTTAAACCCTTTATCTGATCAATAATGTGCAAAATATCGTCTCGCTTGAAAATTGTTTTAATCTGACAATATTCTTTTTTGCGTCTGTAGCGTGAATCCGCAAAGTCACTTTTCTAAATCTACCCTGAGCTGAAAACTTTAGAATGGGATATCCTTAATCCCGATCGATTAATTAATCTGGAGATTAAAAACAAGAGGAGAACAAGCATTATTTAATCTGGAGATTATGTAAATGAGGAGATCAAGCATTAATCTCGATATCCACCATTCTAAAGTTTTCAGCTCTGGACATCTCATTTATTCTCGATCAGACAATTCTTTTAACGAGTACGGTGGGGAATCGAACATGCCAATCCATAAATGGAGCGTCACATAAAATTCCGTTGATAACCCCTTTAAGCAATTCACTTTAAATGCCCTCCCAAAAATGTCTTTAAGATAAAAATAAATCTTATTAGTTTGTCAAGAAAATAGACTAAACAGGGGAAAAAACTTGATATTTTAAATAATAAACTTATTTATACTGTTTCAGCTCAAAGTACCAAGTTTAACAGTTATAAATCATAAATCACTGATAAGCATACCAATCATAACAGCAATAAAGAAAAATACATAAATTAACATTTGATTTCTGTTTGAATGTTTTCAGGGGTAAAAATGTTCCAAAAGTTTTCAAGGAAAATTAAAATTAGACGTTAAACGGCATGTTTCATAACCTAAAACTAATTTTTTCCCCCCCAATTCATCGAATTGTACAGGTCATGGTACTTTGTCTGTAGGTTGCTTGTTAATAATACTACTAATAATAATAACTAAGGGGAAAAAATGTATAGGGGGGGGGGGGAAGAGAAACAGAGTTTTCACCGCTATGTTTACTAGAGGTGTCACGCGAAGAAGTGAAAGTCATATTATCTCTAGGTGATGTCAACCCTAAGTATTGAAATGCAAAAATATTTTTTGCACTAACTTGATGAACTTCGTTTCAGGAAAAAATCTGGATTTTTGTTAAGGATAGGGGGACAATTCTACACATTGAGAAACCAAAGGTTGTAGAGGCTTCATTTGGGTCTAAAAAATAGAGATAAAAGGTTGAAATTTTGCAAGAAGCCTCCCACTGTGGTCCTCTACACGGATCTTAAAGAATTAGGGACCGGAATTCTTTGACCTCCTTTAAAAATCAATGTTTAACCCCCTTCTTGTGTCATCCTAATGTTTACCTCTAAAGTTTTCTCTTGGTTTCCTAGATAACCCATAAACACATTTCTTCCTCTCATACAGAGTTCCCCGCCTTCAGGACATATCTCAGATACTCCAGCACTATTCCTAGAGAAGAGATATATATATCATATATTTAGTTCCCCACCTTAAGGACATATCTCAAATACTCCAGCACTATTCCTAGAGAAGAGATATATATAAAGATATCAAATATAGAGTTACCCGCCTTNTTTGATTTTTTGTATCTTTTGTATATAAATATATTGTAAGAAAAACCGACTCGTTGAATATTTGAGAAACTCAGTGCATTGCTTTATTGATTTTTATTCATATACAATAATATATATAGTTCCCCACCTTCAGGACATATCTCAGATACTCCAGCAATATTCCTAGAGAAGAGATATATATAAATATATCAAATATATAGTTCCCCACATTCAGGACATATCTCAGATACTCCAGCACTATTCCTAGAGAAGATATATATATCATATATATAGTTCCCCACCTTCAGGACATATCTCAGATACTCAGCACTATTCCTAGAGAAGATATATATATAAATATATCAAATATATGGTTCCCCACCTTCAGGACATATCTCCAGCACTATTCCTAGAGAAGAGATATATATAAATATATCAAATATATAGTTCCCCATATTCAGGACATATCTCAGATACTCCAGCACTATTCCTAGAGAAGATATATATATAAATATATCATATATATAGTTCCCCATATTCAGGACATATCTCAGATACTCCAGCAATATTCCTAATTATTTCCCAAAGTGAGTATTTTTACTTCTTTTTTTACTAATTTTTTACCATTTTAACCCAAAAATAAATATCGTTAAATTTAATTTTGAAGAAACTATCCTTCAAAAATTTTCTTTTCGCCATTTTTTTCTGTAGCCTAATATAGGGACAGAACATTTTTTTACGTTTAGGAAATTCAATATTTTCCAAGCACAAAATCTGCAAAATGGAAGCGAAATATTTGAAATTTGAAACCAGTGGCCGAATTTAAAGAATTTGAGCGGCGGTTTAAATTGAAGCCGCGGCTTAAATATGGTTGGTTCCACTTAAAATTGTATCAAATATTTCAAGATTTAAACCGGCGCTTAATTTAAACCGGGTTTTTGCGGATTTAAACCGCGGCTCAAATTCTTTAAATTCCATCTCAGTACAGAGAAAAAAATGTTTGATTTAAAAAAACTTATAATAAAGCTATTTTTCTCATATTTATTTATTCATTATGAATGCCAGATAACACGAATGCTTACAAGGAATATACTTGTCAGTTGTCCCACCAATACATCTCAGTCCTTTTTAGACGAATTCTGGAGTGTCGGAGTGTCGGAGCAGACCCCTCTACCTTTGACTGCTATCTTCAGCCCACCTATTAGTCTAAGAATTCTCTTTTAACAACAATAGAATGATGCAGTTCAAAATGAATATTTCTCTGTACATTGTCCAAATCGGCTGACATTTTTTAAGGGGGACCCATGGATACCCTAGGGGGTAACATGGTGTTTAATAAAATTAGAATATTTTTAATTCAAGATTTTTTTCAAGTGTTAATAAAATTCCACTTCCAAGCTAGTTGTTTCTAATCCACTGGCGATATAATATTAGTCGTGGGACACAGCGACCCCTTTCTTTGAATAGTTTCTTGATTTTCTCTTAGTAGATTTCCCATAACCTCCCTTGAAGTTAAACTAAAAGTTTTTAAAATATTGTCTGTATACCGGGTGGATATTAAGCTGAGTGGATGTGAGTGATCATTTGACTAAACGCAATGCTAACGTAAGGCCCTGTCTCAGTTAATTTGTACCTGTCCAGTTTAGTGTGGAACCCAGCTAAATCTACCTGTCCAGTTTAGTGTGGAATCCAGCTAAATCTACCTTTCCAGTTTAGTGTGGAACCCAGCTAAATCTACCTGTCCAGTTTAGTGTGGAATCCAGCTAAATCTACCTTTCCAGTTTAGTGTGGAACCCAGCTAAATCTACCTGTCCAGTTTAGTGTGGAATCCAGCTAAATCTACCTGTCCAGTTTAGTGTGGAACCCAGCTAAATCTACCTGTCCAGTTTAGTGTGGAATCCAGCTAAATCTACCTGTCCAGTTTAGTGTGGAATCCAGCTAAATCTTTTCCAATTGTTCCAGGTCGGTAGTTGGTGTTATCATTACCAGTCTGTGGTCCACTAAACACAACAAATTATTATTATTATTTTTTATTATTACATTAAACTGTGAACTAAGTAGGCCAGGGTCGATAATATTCTTGAGTCCGAATTTAATGAATTTGAGCCGCGTCACAAATCCGCCAAAAACCGGTTTTAATTGAGCGCCTGCTTAAATCATGAAACATTAAATACAATTTTTAGTGGAACGAAACATATTTAAGCCGCCGCTTAATTTAAGCCGCGGCTCAAATTCTTAAAATTCGGTCTCTGGACAGTGGACATCTTTTAAAGTTGCCTCGTATCGGCATCGGTATAAAAACTTTGTTTGTTTGTTAGTATCCAATAAACGTCCAAACGGCTTAACCGATCGGGCCCAATTTGTTTGTGTCAACTATATTACTATATAACCCTTAGGAAGGTTTTATTGTAGATCCTGAAAAATAATTATATTTTTCGTTTAAAGATAAATAAGGGAGCATGAAGGGCCCTTTTAGCCTCGTAGTTCAAATTTATTTACATATATACATTTTACATATATATTTACATATTATTTACATTATATTTACATATATATATTTTGACCTTCACAAAAAGTTCGAAAAAAAAATCTTTAATATTTCATCAAAATAGTCATATTACAATAAATTTTCAACACAATTTTACCCTTGAGCGGGCTATTTATTACAAACCTGATTTCACTCATCCCATATATTTCCCAAATCCGGATGTTGAGAGACAGGAAGTAGTCAATAACTTCCTGTGCCAGGGGAGCAGCCGCACTAAACATCAAGATAGATCTAGGGGTATTTACGATAAAGACTACAAATTGTTTTTGTTTACTTAGCTTAATCTTTAGTTCTTGGGTTTCTAAAAGCAAAGAACTTCTCAAATACAAAAAAGGGTCGTTTACATGATTTTATGTAAGTTTTACTAAGGTGAAATCCCTCCGAAATGCCAAGGAAAAAATACGTGGGAAAACATAATATTTTGTCTGTGTTGGGATTAATGTGCTATAAAAAGTAAAATCTGATTTTCAGAAATCTATGGAGGGTAACTCCGCCCCTTCCCCCTGTTAAAATTCTAATTGTACCTGAAGAAGCTGTGGGTTTGGGAGAATCCAAGTTCATCTTTGATCTTAGAGAATACTATCTTGTCTGCCAGCTAAATACACATTTTATCAAATTATAGTTTCCCCCAATTTACCCCACCCCCCTTCCCAATCCCTCTCCCTCTCTATGGAACAACGACGCAGAACGGCAGTGCATGATTTATATAGGTTATGGAGTACATGGGCAAGGCTTTGAGTATAGATATCCAAAAATTCTGGACGATTTTTGGAAGATTTTATTATTTACTTCTTACCAACTTAATGTTGAATGTTCCTTTTAAATTAATTTATTTTTAATTTACGGTATTTATTTCTTTGTTTATTCTTTGTAAAAATCGTGTGATCTAACCTTGTATGAGAGTTTGGCCGATTTTCGTCCAGATAACCTTGCTTTATTATGCTCTAATCCTAAAATAAGGTTTAAATTCTGAATATACTTTCGTTTTGATTAACTCCTGTGGCTGTGACTAGGTTGTATAATTAGGTTAGTTAATCTCGATGCGCTCCAATGGATCCAATGTACGGGGAATATCGTCTTCTATGCATAGATAAACTTCGTATACTGATTTTAGAGGGTAATGCTACATCATCTATACGCAACATCCCCCCTACTGAACTTCTGACCTACTAACTTTCCGACCTACTGCAATATCGGACCTACGCCAGCTGTTTATTTTAGTATTATTTGAGGGTTAGGTTAGGTTAAGAAAATTTCTGGGCCGAGCGCTTCGGCTAGGAGAGGCTAGGGGGCCGAGCGCCGCGGCTAGGACAGGCTAGGGGGCCGGGCGCTGCGGCCACAAGTCCATATAGCAGCTGTAATACCACGTGATAGAAGGTCGGATGTGTAGTATAGCGGATTTGGCGTAGGTCAGAAGAGGAAAATGGCGGATAAGTGTTGGTCGAAAAATACACCACCTTTTAGAGTCGATAGTGACGTCATGTAGGTAGATTCTATCTATCTATGCTAAGGAGACGACATCGGAGTGCATCGTGAGTAAGCAAACCTATCGTACAACAATGGGTTCTGAAATGTATAGTTTAAACCACCACACCTCGAAGGGGCTAATATCTCAGTATTTAAAAAATAACTTATAGACTTTGTACCATCAATAAAAAAGATGTCACACAAAAACTTTAAATTTTTCTTAACTAGGTCTTTTAAAAATATAAAAAAAAGAATAGAGGCCGCATAACATGCCAGGATTTATTGTACCCCTCCCTAGAAGTCTTGTTGTGCAACCTTCAGTGACTAATACATTCATTTTTTAAGATTTTCAGCAAACCTGTTTTCTTGGCCCATATTCCAACTGCTTTCTTTATTCCAGTATTTGCCTTGCCTACAAGCAACATCTTTTCACGTACCTAGGAAAATCATTTGTCAGAACTTGGATTCCCTGAAAAGGGATTGAACACAAATCTAACATACCTTTTCCCAAACTCTTGGCACTCCAAAGAAAATTGTCGGCTTGGCCTCTTTCAACGTAGATATAAGGGTGCCCTATTAAAACAACAAATAAATGAAATCATACGGTTTAGAGGCTCAGTAACATTTTGCCTAGTACAAGTTCGCCTAGTACACTTTCGCCTAGTACATGTTCGCCTACTAACTTTTTGCCTAGATAACATTTTGCCTAGATAAAATTTTGCCTAAACACAGTTTACCTAGACAACATTTCGCCTAGATAACATTTTGCCTAGATAACATTATAGGTAATTTTCGCCTAGATAAATTCACTAAAATTTATAAAGTTTCTCTTTTTTCTCAAGAAATTCAATTAAAAGCAGAAAAAATGTATTATAATAATGTTCCTAAGGTGGTATCACATTTTCTGTTTGAACAGCGCCAATTATAAACTTTCTGACTACCAGGTCCATTGGAGACATATGAGAAATGTTGATTATCAATTATGGCTAGTCTGTCTCGTTTGGTTTTCCCTACCTGAATTAAGGACGTCATGTCGACATCAATGTCAGTAGAAAACTGAATGATTTAAACTACAAAAAAAAATTGTGAAATTTTTATAGTGAAAATTGCGTATTTTTTTGTTCCAAAAGCTGGTTAATTTGAAGAATGTTAATCTAGGCGAAAATTACTCTCTAATGTTATCTAGGAAAAATGTTATCTAGGCAAAATGTTATCTAGGCGAGATGTTGTCTAGGCAAAATGTTATCTAGGCAAAATGTTATCTAGACGAACTTGAACTAGGCGAAAGTGTACTAGGCGAAAGTGTACTAGGCGAACTTGTACTAGGCAAAATGTTACTGAGCCGGTTTAGATTTGCTTGAGGCTCTCTCGTGTAGGATGGCATTAGAATTCCTATTGCAGTAAAAAATAAGATTTGCCAAAAATAGTTTTGAATGCATCTAAAGTTTTAGATTTTTTTCTATCTTGATGTTCTTAAAACAAAGTACCTTGAGAGCGTCCCTGTTTGCAAAGTAGATTGTCCCAGCACAGGACGTAAACATAAAGAGGTCCATTATATTTGCAGCAACATGACTAAACATGATCGATTGATTAATTACTATCACAAAGAGGTTCATTAAATTACCAGCAACATCACAGAACATGATTGATTGATTAATTACTATCACAAAGAGGTTCATTACCAGCAACATCACAAAACATGATTGATTGATTAATTACTATCACAAAGAGGTTCATTACCAGCAACATCACAAAACATGATTGATTGAATAATTACTATCACAAAGAGGTTCATTACCAGCAACATCACTAAACATGATTGATTAATTGATTGATTACTATCATGAAGAGGTCTATTATGTTATAGCAACATGATTAAACATGATTGATAATAAACATGACTAAAATATGATTGATTGATTGATTAATTATTTTTAATAGTTACAATCAAGTTGATTTTTTACTTTTTGGGGTTCAGGCCCCAACGAGTAATGAGCCCCTATCCCCCCCCCCCTCCGCCCTGAAAACAACATTCATTGATTGATTATTTAAATGATTAAATATTTGATTAATTAATCAAAAACTGATGCTATTACCTGAGAGGTAGATAACTGACCAGCCTTTCTTCACCCCAAGTAAGTCCATAGTGTTCTACAAGAGTCCTAAACAAAATTATGCTCAAGTAAGGTTCTAAACATCTTATTGTAGTAATCTAAATATCCCATAATAACTCGAGTTTTTGAGATACTAATCAAGTAATATTGCTTCGTTGATATTATATAACTGTGGAATGATTGCATTATTAGTTTTTTGTATTTTAATTGTAAAACTATTCTACAGATTTTTAAATCTAAATTGTAAAGTAATACACCTCTAAGAAGTTAATTCGACAATTATTCTATCAATTCTGGTTTCTATTGAAAGTTACCTGGCTGTAAAAGTAAGATTATCATGAGAAAGCATTACTCCTTTAGGAGGGCCAGTAGTTCCACTTGTATACACTAGATGGCAGCACAGGTTTGGGGCTAGATTCTTCAACCGAGCCTCTGCAACAAAACAAAATAATCAAGGATATATATATTTTTTTTACCCATCCCCCCCATTTCAACCATATTATTCCCCCCAAGTAATTAGATATGATTGAGTGATAGGAGCTCATTAGAAATGATTGATTGATAAGAGCTCATTAGATATGATTAATAATGGTAACTCATTAGATATGATTAATTGATGGTAACTCATTAAATATGATTGATTCATGGGAGCCCATTAGATAAGATTTAGTGATGGGAGCTCATTAGATATGATTGATTGATAAGATCTCATTATATATATTGGATTGATGGGAGCTAATTTGATATAATTAATTGATGGTAGCCCATAGGATATAATATATTGATGGGAGCTCCCTAGATATGATTGATTGCTGAAAGCTCATTAAATATGATTGATTGATAAAAACTCATTAAATAAGCTTGATTGATGGGAGCTCCTTAGATTTGATTGATTGATGAAATCTAATTCTAGATAAGATTGATTAAATGTGCAAATTCAATCTTGAAATCCTCAGAGATTGTTTATATTGAAGGGATTATTTTGAAAATCGGTTTTTTTTATTTTATAATGACGACCATGAAAATAAAACATCAATTCTACAGTAAACTAATTAGATGTTTAGGAACATATTTTTTATTAGAAATTTGCCAATAAACCAATGTTAGAATCAATTATTTCATTATCATCATTTTATTGAATTTGTTGCCAGATTTCTTCAAATTCGTCAAATGTCGTCTTTTCACTAAACATCAGAGCTGAAAACTTTAAAATGGTAGTTATCGAGATCAAAGCTTGATATTTTCTTTTTCTTAATCTTGCTTTACCAAGAGTTACCAAGACCAATTGGTCGAGGGAACATGTGGTTAAGTAAAATTTTTAATTTCCCTAAAAAAAGTTCTACAAGTTCTACAACATTTTTTATCTTTTAAAAATAAAATTCTCAATTTTTTAAACTTTGCAGAGCAGGTTGTTATTCTATTTAATTATCCCAAGGGATTTATTAAGCAATGATAATATTATTATTGTATACCAAGTTCTGTATCCTTCTCTTTCTTCCCGACCTCCATCAGCTGAGACCAGCTTAGGACTCCGGCCTCCGTAGGCTCACCAGAATACTTAACAAGCCAGAGGTCATTTCAAGTATCCCATCATTTATTTTCTTTACATTTCCAGCGGTACCTTTAAATCCTTTATCTGATAAAAAATGTTGATATCGGTTGATGTTTCTCAATAAAAGTAAATTGCAGATTGAGGCAGCAGAATCAATGAAGAAAATAAAAAATTAAAACACTTTGTAACAAAGAAAACGACACAATCTTTTTCATTTTTTATCAGCTAAAGGTGTGTAAGGGTGCCGTTGTGAAATCAAGTCCAACAACAATANTCTTTATAAGTCCAGGATATCCATACTCCTCCCCTCTTAACGCATAGTGCAGGTTGATCTCCAATATTTTTCCAAATCTTAAAAATTCAGTTTGTTTTATAATTATGGAAAGATGGAACAAGGAATATTTTTTAAAACTCTTTGTTCTCAAAATAATAATTTTTCCCTAACAAATCATTTTTAGGAAAGATAAAATTAAAATAACATTTAGTAACTTGAAGAGGAAAAATATATTTAGAGGGAGGGAAACGAAGAATTATTGTTCTTTAATAATAACAGTTCAATTGGCTTTAAAATTTATTTTTCCACTTTTTACAAAGTATTGTTTTTAATTTTAAACCTGCACTATATGGAGTAGATAGGGTAGTTTATCTCATATTGACAGTTTTTTATCTAACTGGGTTTATTCTAATTATTAACCTGCACTATATGCAGCAGGTTGGGTAGTTTATCTCTGATTGCCAGTATTTTGCTGAGTTGGGTATGATCTTCAACAATTACAATGTTGGCTCTAAACAGTAAATAGTGAGATTGTCATTGATTTGTTTTTCTATGATTTTCATCCTATATTAAGAATAGAAGAAAAAACATCAATTAAAACTTGAACTTTATTTGTAAATTTTATCCTTGAACCAGGAACCTCTTCAATAGACTGTCGAGTCGATTGAAGTGCCGCCCCCCCCCCCTAGGCAAACAATTACAAAAAAAATTATTTGAGCACCAATGAGAAGTTTTTCTCTCTTTAACAGATGTAAATTTGACCAACTTCCTTTTTTTACATTAATCTGCAAAACAATTTTGAATTTTAAAAATATCATATTTAGATAGAACATGGTTCAAAGCAAGGTGGTATAGAATCAAAGGGTACATTGAATATTTGTTTGATAATACGAAAGTCGCAAATAAATAAAGACATGAAAATAAGGTTTATACCTGCAATGGGCTAATGTATACTGGCAAGCCTCTGCTGAGTTAGTTGGATATATCCCTGCAGCAAGCCCTCCTAAACATACTTAGTAATCAATTATCTTAAATAACTATCTTAATTAACTATCTGAATTAACTATCTTTATCAAAATGATCGTTTGAAGATAAAATTATGTTCAGTATCATTGCATGACGTATGTACAAAAAACCATAGTTTATACCTCTGGCTGAACATTGAATAAAGAAAGAAAATTTAAAGCCAGATGTGAAGTTTAAATTTTCTTAATTGTTTTAGTTTTGTTTAAGTTTGCAGTATAAGCCAGCTGTGTTTTTTAGACGAGTTACGTTTATTACTGTATAAGAGACAAATATGTAGAGGGGGGGGGGGAGACACTTAACTAGCTGTTCTATAAGTGTTGCATATCGACGAAAGAAAATAAAAAAAATGTCAGGAAAAGAATTAGTAAACAAATGATTCCGACTTAACCTGCAAAAACACATCCTAGATCTGAGAAAAACCACTCTGGAGAGTTGAATCCAATGATACCAACCCCATGGCCGGGGGTCAAGCCCAGCTTGATAAATGCCTGCATACACCACCAACAATAATATTGTTAAAAATAAATTCATTATCTTCATATTAATTTCTTTACTTCCTTAGTCTGTTCATTGTTTACAAACTGATTTTTATCTTTTTATTACTGAAATTATCAATTTATTTATTAGATAAGAAAAAGATCGTGAAAGATCCCCAATGTAGGATCCCCAGACCGCCTTCCGAGTAAGAGTCTCAGTCAGGTGCTGATTCCCCTACCAGTTCAATCTGGCACTTAATCTCATTCCCCCTACTTTAAGGGAAATACCAAAAACAGTCTTATTAGAAAAAGACTTATTTCTTTAATGAGGATATTTAAAACTATTTGATTTTCGTATTTAGTCCGTTCACTATCATTCACCTACAGATTACATTTTACTTATTTTTGCTTATATATTTCATTGGTTATTTTTGTACTTGTTGTTATTAATTTGCCATTTTAATTGTGTTTTTAACGTTTTGCTCATTGCACAATCAACATAATCATGTTTATTAGCTGTGTGGTGGTGTTGTTCTTATTAATATTCTTATCATTATTATCATTATTATCATTATTGTCCTTATTATTGTCATTATTATGATTATTATTATGATCATTATTATGATCATTATTTTTATCATTATTATTATCATTATTATCATCATTTTTAATATCATTATTATCATCATCATCATCATCATTATTATCATTACTATTATCATTACTATTATCATTATCATTATCATTATCATTATCATCATCATTATCATTATCAATTTCATTACCATTATTATCATATTATTATCATTAATTTTCATTAATATTGTTTAGTTCCTTAGCAACAGTTCTGACTTCAGCTAAATATTCTTTATAAGTCCAGGATATCCATACTCCTCCCCTCTTCACGCATAGTGCAGGTTGATCTCCAGCCTTAATCAATAAATCAATCTATCACAATAAAAGGAAAGTGTGAATAATTTAATTTTCATAATTAAAAAAAATTTCATTTCTCCACTAATTGGACTGCTAAAGTATATGATTAATCAAAATGGCTAATGTATCTTTACATTTCAAATAATATTTAGAAAATAACAATAAAGAAAAACAATATTTTAGAATTAAAATTCTTAGGAAAACTCTTGACGTAAAAATATTTTATGATTTCAAATCAACAAAATGTTGTGGAAAAAAAGTATACTTTGTTTGCAGTTAAATTTTCATGATTTACTTAAATAAACGTAAAGAAATCCCATGTAAATCAAAAATTCAAAATTTTCGAGAGAATGAAATACCCTGTTTACCTTCAATGCTGATTGTCTACGCAGGGTCAGGAATTAAACCGGTTTTTGTTTTGTTCACCTTTAATGCTGTTTGTGTAAGCAGGGTTGGAACTGAAACCGGTTTTTGTTTTTTTACCTTTGATGCTGTTTGTGTAAGCAGGGTTGGAACGGAAACCGGTTTTCTGATATCTTCAGGGCAACAATCTTTATCAGGCATCCACAGCTTAAATGGAGTTTTTTATATTGCAGATTAGACCATATCAGATCAGAGCTAAGACCTTTAGAATTGAATACCTTTAATCCCAATGACTAAATCTATGAATCCACCCACTGTTGACACTTTTGATTTTCTGCTTAATCCTTTCTTTTTGGTTATCCCTGCTGGATTGTACCAATGAGAGTTCGCTCATTGATTTCTTCGCGGGCAAAATTTCAAAATTTCTCGGCTTCTAATTGGCTGTTCGGAATTTTGTATGATAATAATAATAATAAAAGGTTAGATCTTAACATGGGAACCCGACAAGGAACCTCCAGACCGCCATCAACATGGAGCACTTCAACACTGGTTTTATCTTTCCAGATAAAATTAGATTTAAGTTTACAAAAAAAACACTGGATTTATGTACACAAATAAAACGCCGGATTTATCTTTGCAGATAAAGCACTGAATTTATGTTGACAAATAAAACACTGGATTTAAGTTTATAGATTAAACACTGAATTTACGTTTACAGATAAAACGCTTGTTTTATTTTAACAGATAAAACGTTGGATCTATTGTTACAGATAAAACGCTGGATTTATGTTAGAAGATATAACACTGGAATTATTTCAACAGATATTACGCTGGATTTATATTTAAAAAACGCTGAAAATAAATTACAGAGAAAACGCTGGAATTACCTTAACTGGTTCCATTGGATCTGAACTAGTGTATTCTGTAGCTGGCAGAATTCTATCCAATCCAATTCATTCATGAAATTTTCTAGAATTTCTGTTAAAACTTGTGCGAAGAAGAATTTAAAAAGCTGAAATATAACAAGCCCCCTGGTCCTTGGAACTCATAGCAATTATATATCTAAAAAAATAGTACATTTAAACTGCACGAGTTGCAAGCAGTTAAAATAAATTTTATAAATCAATATTTTTAAGAAATAGTGATGAATTGCAACTTGCGCCATATTAAAAAAATCATCTTAATTGCTAGCTTGCATTTTGCACTGTATTTTCAATTAAACAAAACTAAGCTGAAATTTGTTTTGAATTTGTAATTAAAAACTTTTAATAGAGGACATGGTAATATGAGACATTTTTACAAGAAGTCTGTCTTCATTACTAATTGCGCAACTTTTTGCAACTCGCTCCAAAAAAAACCAACTCATTTTCTTTTAAATAAAACATTAAGTTTGACCGTTTAAGAAAATATAATACAAAATGCATTGAAATAAGATAAATGAAGGAATTAAAAAATAATCAATATAAACTTATTCATCATTGAAAACATATTAATATTAGTGTAAAGGACAGAAATATTGAATAGTTTAAAAAGGGAAAAGGATGAAAGAAAGGATGGAAAAATAAATAAATAAAAGGAGGATTGATTTAATGAATGAATAAATTGGTTCCTATCAGGTCCAGTACTGGGTTCCTCTGATGGCTCCTCTCCATTTGAACTCATTTTTGTCTAAAAATAAAAAAAATTTAAAAAAATTGGAGTTTTGAACTCATTTTGATAAACCTATTATTAACTTTTATCACTAATCATTATTTATTTCTAGTGAAACTCTAATACAGCAAAAATAAGCGAGAAAATGACCAATATTGTTCTGTACTATTAAGAATATCTAGGGTACGTATACAGGAATACCCTGCTCCAGGACATCAACGATACACTACTGACGCCCTTATTTCTTTAAGGTGTGAAGGATACTGACAAGTATTATCCTATGCAAGGGTGTAAATGTAAGTATTAGGAAGCCCAGCTCTCAGGAAGTACAGATTTAAGTATCCAGGAATGACTGAAGCAAAATGCATTAAGCTAAGAAATCTTTTTTTCGGGGGTTTATTTATTAAATATTCGTTATTACGCCACTACCAGTATTCTTAGTAATTTGTATACATAATGCAGATTTACTAAAAATAAATAAACTTGACATTTAGATTTAGTTTCTCATGCGTATGCGTATGTTACAAAGATACCAATTTCCACCAAACATGACATTCATATTATTATCATTAATTTTCATTAATATTGTTTAGTTCCTTAGCAACAGTTCTGACTTCAGCTAAATATTCTTTATAAGTCCAGGATATCCATANAATTGTTTTCAATTTTATATTTATAAATATTTAAATCTTCTCAAAATTTACCCCTCCCCCCTCAGAAAAACTTTTCACGGAACAAAGGTCTTGCTAATAAAAAAAAACTGTATTAGAGCTTATATCTCAATACGATTATACAACAATTCTATACGTAGCCTGGAACAGATGTCGACAAGTACTGGTAAAATCTGCATTTTGGAGACCAAGAGAGAGAATGAGAGAGAGAGAGAATTCAATAACATTTAAACATTTGTTTAAATAAAAACGCGCTTCTTACATATCTTAAATATTCAATGTTATAACAACACCAAATGAGACTTAAAGGCAGGAGTATATCATTCCTCTACAAAAAAAAGCGGAAGGGAAAGAGGAAGGGATCGAAGGAAAAGAGGTGAAGAAAAGGAAAAGGAGAAAACGGAAATAGGAATTGAAGGGTAGGGAAGGAGAAGGGTAGGGTGATGAAATATTAGGGAAGGAAAGGGCAGGGTGATGAAATATTAGAGAAGGAAAAGGAAAGGTTGGGAAAGGGAAGAGGTAGCTAAGGAAAAGAGGAAGGTAAGGAATAGATAGAGGGTCGGGAAGAGAAAGAGGAAGCTAGGGGGAGGGGAAGGTGGGGAAGAGAAAGAGGAAGGTAGTGAAGGTTAGGAGGATAGGGTAGGGAAGAGGAAGGTGGGAACGGGGAAGAGTAAGTTGGGGAAAAGAAATAGAAAGAGGAGGGTAGGGAAGTGAAAGAGGAGGGTAAGGAAGTGAAAGAGGAGGATCGGGAAGTGAAAGAGGAGGGTAAGGAAGTGAAAGAGGAGGGTAGGGAAGTGAAAGAGGAGGGTAAGGAAGTGAAAGAGGAGGATCGGGAAGTGAAAGAGGAGGGTAAGGAAAAGAAAGAGGAAGAGGTAGGGAAAATAAAGAGGAAGGTAGGGAAAAGAAAGAGGAAGGTAGGGAAAAGAAAGAGGAAGGTAGGGAAAAGAAAGAGGAAGTTAGGGAAAAGAAAGAGGAGGGTAAGGAAGGGGAAAGTAGGTAAATGGAAGGTTATGTAGAGAACGGAAAAAGATGATGGGAAAGGTCGGGAGAAAGAATGGATGTCATTGCAAATCAAGGAAAGATTTTTACCTCTTTGATCTAAAAATCAATTATTTTTCGAAAAAAAATCTTTCATTTTTTACATTCTTGGTCCCTTGAAAATGTTGAGCTTGTTTCTTTGTTTTCCAAATCATAAGCAATACTTTCAAAAAGAAACTAAATGATTATCAAAAATACTAAGTCTTTAGAATATTAAATTTTTAGGAGTTTTAAGTCAATTAAAGAATTTCCTGCATGTATAAATACACTTTCACAGTAGAATCTACAAAAAAAAAAATGAAATAAAAAGATGAAAAATAGCTCTAAATAAAAAAATGCAGATTAGATTTTAAATTCATGTAAATTTTGTTAAAATTAGTATACAATACGTAAACATTCATCTTACCTAATCATCATCCCCCCCCCCTTTCTCTAAAAATAATTTAAGAGTGCGTTTATGTCAATTTCACACAACAAACTGCTCAAAACTTCTCCTCTGTTTTACTAAATATTGTCACTTGATATAGGAATTAGAATCCGTGTTAGCACTGTAAGTATATAAGTGAATCCTCCCCTCAGCAGAGGATAATATTACAAGTGTTGCATGAAAATAGGAAAATGGAATTTTCATAATATTTATGGATAATTATTCATTCTAGCGTTTTGATAAGCTTTTAAAAAATCTGTTTTATGAAATTGATGAAGTTTTCAGGATAAAAACCCTTTCAAGAACAACGATATCTTTCAAATTATTGATCAGATAAAAGTTAAATTAGAACAGTTGTGATTAGGACATGTCCCTACAGTTCCTTAAAATCAATAAAAAGATCAATTAGAAGAGTTGTGATTAGGACATGTCCCTACAGTTCCTTAAAATCGATAAAAAGATTAATTAAATAAAACTTCTTGGATAGATAGCCTAAGTAAGAACTTGTAGTTAAACTTCAAGTTTAAAAAATGATTCAATGAGACCCCCCCTGGCCCCCCTATATATAAAACCAGTTGTGGTTGCGATATATTATGTAAAATTTACACAACGCAACATCAATATGGAATTGATATGATCAATTGATTTCTGTCAATTACAATTACAGTTTAAAAATTAACAATGTATGGTTTTAAAATTTAGGATTATTTTTTATCAATTTTGAAGGGTTCCGCTGTGAATCGGGCTTTCTCCTTCTTTTTTTTTATAAAAAGGAGGGTTCCTAAAAATGACTACCTTTGAATGGGACATCGTTGCATGTAAAGGGTGTCGTGTCCCACATCATTTAAGATAGTTCATGGCTCTAAATTGCAATTTTCGGGACAAATAAGACAATTTAAAAATATGAAACATTTTAAAAACGCCTAATATAAAAAATTTGCATGCAGTTGCAGTAAACACAAAGTTTTTCGAGTAATATGTGAGTATTTCAGCGTTAAATCTAGGAGATAATCAAATATTATATGGGACGCTCTGTAGAACAATTAAGCTCATTGCCGATTAAAACAACCCCCTGGCCCCCCTTTCACAAAATTTTTGCTTTGTTCACACCGTACGCAAATATTTGAAAAATAATGTTTACAAGTCAAATGCGTAAACTGGACTAAGGAAGGAATGAGTGCAATAAACAAGACAAAAACCGTGACCGTTCCGCTTCAGTGATAGCGTAAGATTATTTGCCTTGAAATTGAACGAGATAGAAATATAAAGTTTACCCCCTCCCTCCTACTTCTATTATTTACTATAGGAGGGGGAACTTGGGATCCGTCCTACACTGTGAACTTGACAGACGGAGAGGTCAAGTTTAATTGATATTACTAATACGACTTTCAGACCTCGTAGCTCCTTCAGTTTTGATTTTTATCACAAGTATGCAAACAAAACTTATTCAGTAACATTGGAAATTATAAACATTGTTCTTTTTAGGTTAGGTTAAGCCAATTTCTGGACCCAGCGCTGCGGCTAGGACAGGCTAGGGGGCCGGGCGTTGCGACCACATGATCAATTATATCCATGTACAATATTGATAGGAGGGGGGGAGGGGACAGGGTCCAAAAATCGTTATCTAGGAAATTACCAAAACACAATTACAACAATTATAAATCACGATATATTCTTTCAGATGGGATGACCAAAATGTCAATATTTATAGCTGTTTGTTTGTTTGTACTGTACTCGGTACTCCTTCTTCCAACTTCCACTCTCAAATCAAAACTAAACTGGGTTCTGATTGGTTAGAATTAGAAAAATCAGCTGATTTTGATCCAGAGCGGTGCTATGATGTTTGAACAACCGTCGTTTGAACTATCGAATATTATACACTTTAGTTAGGGAGTAAGGTAAATGTATAAGGGTTTTCATTAACAAAACTTTTGGGCAATTTTTGCGAATAGTATTTTAAATTCATAACATAAAAGTTAAATTGTCCAAAAAGAGGGAATGCCATGGCCATGTGTTTGCAAACACCTTATTTCAAAGGTATAATTGTGACCGTCAATGTATGGTACAGGGTGTCCCACGAAACATGACAGTTGGTGAATAGTTTAGAATGTATTTTTCCATTATTTGTTCAGTTGTTTGATACCAAAGATCATAAAAATATAATATGGGAGTCATTTAAATTAAAATTGATTTCATTAAGTAAAATATATAATTATAAGCAAAAGATTTGTTAAACTAAAAATATAACTATTTATTAAATGTCATGTTTCGTGGGACGCCCTGTAGTTGAACTAAAAATGTAATATGTGGAAATTTACAGGGGCGTACGAGAGCATTTATAGTTTAAAGGGGGCGTACATTTTTTGTAAAATCAATGTAAAAAAAATGTAACAACAATTTACAGTAAACTAATTAGTTGCTTAAAGGAACATACTTCTCAAAAGAAATTTGTAAATAAATTTATTTTGCTTTCGTCATACATTTAATTTCTCATTCTTTTACGAATTTGATTACAGATTTCTACAAATTCATCAAATGTCGTCTTTTCAATAAAAATTACAGAAAATCTACAGAAAATGTTTGTGAAGAATGAAAGATTACAGAAACTAATAACTGAATAGATTACTTTTTTTCGACGATAACAGTTAATTTTTATTTTCTGAACCTGTTCCTAAACAATTCTTTTTAGTTTATTTTAGAATTTTTGTTACATTTTTTGTTGTTGTTAACCTCGATTTTGGAAGGAAGAAAATATGGAAAGATGAACTTTAAGGAAGATTACATGAAAGATGTTATGCGGGGAAAATTATACGTAAGATGGAATGAAGGAAAGGAAGATTATTTTGAAGATGGAATGAAAGGAACATTTATTTGGAAGATGGAATGAAGGGTAGATTATATGGAAGATGGAATGAAGGGAGGATTATATGGAAGATGGAATGAAGGGAAGGAAGATTCTATAGAAGATGGAATATCAAGAGAAGAGTATATGGCAGATTGAATGGAGGGAAGGAAGATTATATGGAAGATGTAATTAAGGGAAGGAAGAATATGTGGAAGATGGAATTAAGAAAAGATTTCATTGAAGATGGAATGAAGGGAAGGAAGATTCTATGGAAGATGAATCAAGAAAAGAATAAATGGATGCTGGGAATGAAGGAAAGGAAGATTATATGGAAGATGGAATGAAGGGAAGGAAGATTATATGGCAGATGGAATAAAGGGAAGGAAGATAACAGAAGATGGAATGTAGGGAAGGAAAATTAAATGGAAGATGGAATGAAGGGCAAAACGATTATATGGAAGATGCAATGAAGGGAAGACTATATGGAAGATGGAATGATGGGAAGGAAGATTATATAGAATGAAAGGAAGATCATATGGAAGATGGAATAAAGGGAAGGAAGATTATATGGGAGATGGAAAGAAGGAAGGGAAGATTATATGGAAGATGTAATGAAGGGAAGGAAGATTATATGGAATGAAAGGAAGATTATATGGAAGATGGAATAAAGGGAAGGAAGATTGTATGGAAGATGGAAAGAATGGAGGGAAGATAATTATCATTAAAATTATAAACTACAGTCCTAATCAGAGAGACCCGAAATTAATTTACAATTAATCAGACGACTTTACAATCTAATTTTACAAAAATGTTTTACATTAGCTTGGATTTACTACTTCCTGTACTTTACATTAGCTTGGATTTACTACTTCCTGTACTTTACATTAGCTTGGATTTACTACTTCCTGTACTTTACATTAGCTTGGATTTACTACTTCCGGAAGCATTGGTTTGCCTGTTAAAATATGTTTATTCTGGTCGTATAAATTGTAATTTTTTTTTAGAAACTACTTTTAAAAAAAGCAACTACTTTTAACTAAAATACTGTTGAATACTGTATCCAAATAATTTGAAATCTGGTTCAAAAATGGCGTAGAGTTTCTCTTTCACCCTAAAATAGAAATTATTCAGTTTTACAGGGTGTCCCACGGAACATGACAATTGAGAGATAACTTTTAAAATCGTCTCAGAAATTGGAAATAATTTGCAGGATCATAACTTAATTTTACAAATATGATTCTTCAAGTAATAAAAGTTTTGGTTTCATTTGTTAAATTAAATCTGAAAAAGAGATTAGACTGCGTTGATCTACTAGAGAGGAATTGAATTTGGATATATAATCAACTAAAAAGAAGATACAAAAGTCAGAGAAAAAATTCACTGCTCTTTTTAAATTTTGTTAAAAGAAATTTAATAAAAAATGAATGTTAAAAATTTTGAAAAAAATCTGAACAAAATTCTTTATATTGATTTTATAGACCAAATACAGATCGTCTCTTCTCAGCTGTGTTTGATGGGACACACTGTAATTCAAATTTTTGGATTTGAAAAATAAAAAACCTCTTATCTACTGTTGTATAAGCTTGAATTGCACTGTTTTGTGATGTACGCCCATCAGTTCCCATTCTACTGCAAAAATATTAAAAAATAAGAATGATGACTTTACAATCTTGAACCTTCAGCTGCAGGAACTTTTGGGAACTCTTGATCAATGCTTAATCTTGATCTTTGTTTAATCTGCATATTAATTAAATCTAAATATCGTTATCCCGCATGGAGGAAAAACTGAAATAAAGAGATTAATTGATCCTCAAATAAAAAATGCCTACTTCATGGATATCATGGATATAGTGCGAAATGAAGCGATCAGGAATATGAGTATCCAACACGAAACTTTCCAGCTCTGGTTAGTGGTTATGTAGATTTTTAGGATATTGACAGATTTCTTTACGAGATTTTTTTATTTCCTTTTATTGTATACAGGGTTAACAAACACAACATAAGACTTGATCGACGACCTGAAACTCTTTTATAGTAGAAAAACAAAGGATCTGTCGGTAATGTTTCAAGTGATTCTCCAGTTAAGAATGACATCTCCTATTTCAAGCAGGATTTCTAAAGTTAACTGATCATTATCAAGGATAAAATATTTGTCCACCTTAAAATCAATTTTTTTCAATTGTTAAAGTGGAATTTGCATTTATGCCGCAGAGTGAATAAAGAACATTGTGAAAAATTAACTCTTTTTTGATCTTTTTTTATTGGAAATCAAATCTGTTGTCCTCGCAGGGAAAGTGTTTTTTTATAGTTTATTAAAATTAAATTAAAAAACTAATATACACCAACAGGAAACCTGGAATGTAAAACAAAGACTAAAAGTCATTTGTTGGTAGCGTTTATATCGTGTACCTGTGTAAGCGAACATCTAGGTTTATATTACATTTCTTTTTTAAATAAAAAGTGTCTTCATTCATTGTTTCCAGTTTAAAGATTGCGTCATACCTGATAAAAAAAGACAATATCATTAAAAATCCATGTTTGAAACATAAAAACAGTATTAAAGGGACTGTAATTGTAATTTCAAGCACTCACCTCTGCCCCTTTAGTAAAAGTAAATTCAACCTTTATGAAGCATAAAGTCTGACCGCGTCAACCTTGTTGCACCGGCCACCGGCTAGTCATGTCCATAGAGCTAAGTACAGTACAAACTGGGAACGGAAAGGTTGACCCAGCTCGGAAATTCAAATGTACTACGGCTGCCCGTGGAAGTAACCTTCAAAGTAAAGCTGGCAATATGTTCTGATCAAGTTTAAATTACATCCAATTGTTTTTGTTTATTCAAACTGTTTATTTTCATTTGTGGTTTCTCTGCAAGAATTTTGCGAATTTCTTACTTTAAGAAACAAAAACAATGAACTTAATGCGCAAGATGCCAAGAGTTCTCAACAAAATCCCCGTTTTTTACATTTAAATTTGTATTTTAATTTATAAATTGTCCAATATTTTTTAAATTGTCCAAAAAGAGGGGTTAATATCTAAATTGCTAAAAAAATAAAAGGTGTTCAATTCTTAGCCAAACACCTTATTTCTTGAAGGGAGTGACCGCTAATGTATGGTAGTTGAACTGAAATGTATTGTGGAAGTTTATTTTAGGAATCATTTGAGACACAGAAAACGTTTCCATGATGCATAATCACTCAGTTTGAGCTCAAAGTCGACCTTCAAAATAATCGATTTGTTTGCAGATTTCTACAAATTCTTTAAATGTCTTCTTTTCAATAAAATTCCAGAAAATCTACAAAAAATAATTGTGAAAAATGAGAAATCACAGAATCTTTTAATTGAATATACTTAGTTTATTGCAGAATTTTTGTTACATTTTTGTCGTCGTTATTTAATAATTTAAAAAAAAATTGGTTCTCATCTTAAAATGTTCTCACCCAACTTGATGATTTTTAACGTCGATTTTGCGCTCAACTCAAACTCAGTAATTATACGTCATAGAAACGTTTTATATGTCTCAAATAATTCCTACGAAAATTTTCAACAATAATACATTTTCAGTTCATTCACCATACATTGCCGGTCACTACCTTTATTACAACAATAACTTTTATTTGATCAAAAATGTTGAACAAATATCCTTGTTTTTTTTAGTTTAAAAGTGTTTCTGACAAACTTTTCCAATTTTAAGGGTACCTTTGTCAATCGAACATGACACTCCATAAATGAGGGTTTACTTGAAATTAAGTCCCCAAAGTATAAGATTAAAAGTTACTGCTGTGAACAAGGCCTACAGTTGAGATATACAGGTCTCCAATGAAAGTTCACTTTTCTAACCCGTTCAGAAAATCTTCTACTCTGAAAAAGAAAAACTTCAATTGTAAAATATTTTTGAAAAGTCAACTTGTTAAAACCTGATATACTGTAGAGTTGTGGAGAAAATCTAAATGATCAGCAACATACGTAGCAAATTCTGCAAACGTAGGTATCTTAAAAAGTTGGATTTGTCAAAAATAAAATTTGAATGAATGATCATTGATAAATCTATTGTCAATTCATATAGTTCTTCATTTATTTATGCATAGTCAAATTGTCAACAAATTCCTGATCGCTATCTTTTTTGAACCGTTTTCTAATCCAATTCTGTAAAATATGCCACTTTTTAAACTTAAATTTAGAAAAATGGGTGACCCAAAATTGTTGGCTTTTATGGTTTAACAGAACAATTTTTGAACATTATACATTTGTTGACCATATATCTACCTTCTAAACCCCCCCCTCTCCACATAATGTCGTCTTTGCCAGCCCCTCCTCTTGGTTAAATCCAAACCAAAGCAATACTCAGGCAATTTCTCTGTACTCTGACAATGGGAAACATTAAATAGTGAAACGTTTTAACTAAGGGAATAATCAAATCCACAAATAACTTTGCAATTCATAGTTATTCCTCTTAAACAACCGGCTTTATATTTTCAGAAGCATTATCCGAATCCACTCCTTAATTACCCCATAACACACCAAATTAGTAAGTTTATTTTATTAAACATTAAACAATGTTAAATTAATATTTATTTCCACTAAAACTTTTTTTTATAGGTTTGAAATAAATTCATTTATTGAGATTATGTGTTATGGAGTATAAGGAGCCATCAACATCAATTAATTAAACACCTAACCAACCAATCAACTAACCACCTAATCACCGACGCCCCCCGCATAAGTTTCAAAATAAAGCATTACACGTCAAAGAGTTCAAAAACATCTTCTCAAACCAAACAGAAAAACACGTTTTTGCTCCTTTTTAAAGGATTTTAGCCAAGGGCTTATAAATCCCTATTACCCTTTACCGAATGAGAAGAATCAAGGACAGCATTTTTTATCCATTAATTTGTTTTTAACCAGCTGAATTTATTAAGAAACTCAACTGGATAAAAAACATAGCAAAATAAATTGTTAATTTCTGGCAAAAATCAATTTCTAAATAAGATTTTTATTTTATAAGTAGCAAGCCTGAATTTTTCCAAAAGTAGCCCAATGTGTGCTGTTTCTAGGATAAATCTCTAACCATTGAAATATCTTCAGAATTTCTTGAAGCATTTTTTTCAAGAAATGCTGGAGTCATAGATTTTTCACTAACACTGAATTACAAAAAATCTCAAAAGAAAAATGACAGATATTATTCCTGTCATTTTATCCAGATAGGCAGATAAGATTCTCTCAAAAGGATCCCTAGTTATAAAAAAAAAGTTTTTACAGTAAACTCGATCTTTAAGTCAAGTCAAGCCAAGTAAAGTCATGTTCAATTATCGTGTCAATTGACATACTGTAAGTGCTATGTATGCAATACAAATATATATCTATATTTATAAGGTTCTAATCTGTGTTTGTCTGTTTGTATGGCCCTTGTCTGATTTCCCTCAAATTTTGATTGGGGAACTCGGTAGAACCACAAGAATGTTTTTAGCAAAGTTTAAATATTCTAAGTTAAAAGAGATGCCTTTTACAGGGAAAATTCCAGGCATAGCTGGGTTTCCAAGCTAGTAAATTTATATAATAGTAACCTTTGTTTGTAAGTCTAATCATAACTCATGATCCCCTTGACTGATTTGCCTCAAATTTTGATTGGTGAACTCGGTAGAACCACAGGAATGTTCTTAGTTAGATTTAAAAATTGTAATATAAGTGGATTTGATTTTACTAAGAAAGCTTTAATATTCAGGCAAAGCTGGGTTTTTAAACTAGTTTTAAACATTAATTGAAGTTGTAAAAATTACAATTATAATCCCTTTTTTTCTGGTGCGCATTCAAAAAATTATATTTTTCTCAACACAAATGTTAGATTTTTTATCCAAACTTTTTGAATTGTTTTACCTGACAATAAAAAACTTGAATGCGACTTTCTCAAATTCATCTCTAATCAATCCTTTTAGTTGTGGATATAATATCTCAACCTATAATTTTACAAATTATCATCGGTGTCTTAAAAATACAAAATGGATACATTTTCACATACTCATAGTATTGTACCTGTTTATGACTGTGTTCCGCATTTTTGGTTTTGTTTGCCAATTTCACAAGATGGTCGACCCACGTGGTAGATCCTGTAAAAATATTTGGTTTGGTAACTTCACAAGATGGTCGACCCATGTGGTAGATCCTGTAATAATATTTGGTTTGGTAACTTCACAAGATGGTGGGTCTACCCATAAAAAATCGCTCCAACCCCCTATTCTTTTTCTTAATTACAGATACATGTTAAACAATTATACAAAGATATGCATCATGTGTTTGTCAACTTTTCCCGGGGCTCCTATGAAGGGGGGGGGGGCATAAGAGCCCCAGTTGTAAAGATTCTCGTATGTTTTAATATATCTATATGTATTAAATATGAAAGTTTATGATTTTATAACTTCACATGAATTTTCACGGGAAAAAAATATTTGTTTAAATGCTTTTTTTGACAAATTTTACATAATTTTTCCAAAGAGAAAATTGAGAAATACCTATCTTATAATTCTCGCAGTACATGAAAAGATGTTCAGTATCAAATCTAAATAATCAAAATCTGTTGTAAATTACTAAAAAGTTTTTCCAAATAAGCGCTGAAAATGTAAATATTTGCTTTTAATTCTCTATTGTAGAAATATTTTAGTGTTAACATGCAATTACTTCCCCGCCTTATCATCCATTTCGTTGTTTGTTGTAATCTAATCTAATTGGACTTGGAATGAGGTCTGTAAAAGTAAGCTTTTATTTATGGTTTTAAAATTTTCATATTACTAGGATTTTCGCGCCCATTATGTTTTTCAATTGTGAACATTTTCAATTTAATAAACAATGTTGGAAAAACAATCAAAAAAGTTCGCTGATTATAAAATATTTTTTCCTGGATTTACAAAATAAGAATCGAATTTTATGAGGCAAATTTTTGAAAATTCTGATCATCCTTAAAATTTTCCTGGGGTCATGTGAGGTCCCATAACAAAATTTCGGCCCAATCGGTTCAGCTGTTTTGAGATTTTGTTGCAAACAAACAAACAGAAACCCAGACAAACAATCAAAGTATATAATCATCAATTTGTAATTGTAAACTCTATCTGTATACAGATACATTTATTTTAGCAATAAACTTTATCTTATCTTATCTTATCTTATATAAATGGTAATAAAAATAAAGTATATAAACAAAGCAGTTTTCCTGATACGGTTGTTGTACAGACTGAATGCTACTTTGCTCCGTTCTTCAAATTCAGGACAATTTCTGCAGAAATCAAATAAAAAATAAGTTTTTGATAATTTCCGTTATTCATTCTAAAGTAGGTTTTTCAATATACTTTCTTGACATTTCGAGAAAACAACCTCATAAGGAACCGAGTTTTTCCACAAACTCTGTTGTTTTCCCACAAACTCTGTTGTTTTCCCAAAATCATTGCAAATTGCAATGACGTAGGATTTTGATATTTCAAACCATGAATTATGTTAGACTAAATAATCTAAGTTTGAGATGTCAGGTTGAAAATATAAAGAGATTAGAATATTTGAATCTCTGGCAAAAATCAATTCCTATTTTCCAAAGATGAATTAAGATTGACTTAAATTACTAACAGACATTTTTTTCGATATTTGTTGTAAAAATGTTCTCGAAAATGCAAAAACTCAAATTCAAATAAGTTTTAATTTGTCATAAGGAATTGAGTCTTTGCCACTAACTCAAATTTTCAAGTTCCGTAATCTTTTATACCTGATGGTGTAACCTTTAAAATGTCCAACTCAGATTATTTGAGCTAATATATATAGAATTGAAATATCTAAGTTGAGTTGTAAAGACAAAGTGATTAAAAAATCAGAGTTTTTGGCAAGAACTTAGTTTCTTTGCAATTTAAATAAAAAAAACTGCCAATTCAGCAATAATATAATAAAAAATAACAAAAAGTTTATCAATTTTTTATTTTCTGTATTTGAACAATTCCCTTCTGAGGATCTGGTTTCTTTCTTTAAATACTTTCTCACGAGAACTTAAAAATTCTACAAAATAATGAAACTTTAAAGATTTAAAACAATTTTTTTTTATAAATTCTTAAACAAAAAGTTTAGAATATGCTATAAATGTTTAACAGATAAAAAATAGATACTATTGGATAAATCTTCTTCACAATGAAGAAGTAAAGAAAATTTAAAGTAAGATTATAGCTTTTAAAATACAGACGTGTTAAAAATTATTGAGATTATTAAAATTGAGATTTTTAAGTTTTGACTTATTTGTGAAAAAAGACTTTTTTATAGTGTTTCTCTTAGCATTGATTGAATAATGTGTAAGAAGAGAAAAAATAGTGTAATTTTTCAAAAAAAAATCCAACTTTTAATTCTATTTTTATTCTTAAAAAAATGTTATATTTCATTCCTTTCAAATCATCTTGTTTTGGTTTGTTCTTCTTGTTCTCAATCCCAGCTTGATTTTGAACAGGGGGTGGTCGTCTTCAATACATGGTTTTTAAAAATTATTTTTTAAAGAGAGATCTTTGAAAAATCGCAATATTTTTAAAAAAATAATTTATTTTATTTCTTTACTAGATATTCAAACACTCTGAAGTTTAGATCGAAATTAATTATTATCTAATTTAGACAGTTTTTCAAACCAATAAATATGCTAGTTAAAAGTCGACATTGAAGTCAAAGAATCAGCAGGCGAGGATCCAGGGGGGGGGGTCAAGGGGTCGACGACCCCCCCTTTTGAAAAAAGAGGGGGACAGGAGTTTATTTTGACACCCCTTATTCTGGAGAGTAACCTAAAAGTTTACTGTAACTTGTTTTCCAGCAGATACTATAATATGCTTTAACAAAACTAATGCTTAAATCAAATCAGCCTCGTCTCTTGGGAAAACAAGTATCTTTGAAATTTTAAAATGTGTAAATGTCGATTTTTGTGTTTTGTCAGACGAGAAGGTAACAATATTTTAAAACTTTATTCTGTAGAAGTTTACCAAACATGCAAAAATATAAGGCAAAAACGATAGTTTCTGGTTTTTAAAACGATCGTTTTTAGTTCGTTTTTGCCTTAAGTTTTCACCTAGGATGTTTGATATTAGTAAACTTCTACAGAAGACAATTTTAAATCTTTAACTCGTAAATCTTTTAAAAGTCCAAAAGTATTAAAAGTTTCTGTAAAACGAATCTAGCCTTTTCCCATCGCTATATTTAAACCTACAGGAATAACCACAAAAAATAAGAGTTAAGAACAGATTAAAACTCTACAATCTTGAAATTGCATTCTTCGGTAATTACTCACATGAAAAAACACCCTAACCTTTTGCCGTTAATATCTCAATCTTAAACAATATTAAAAATTTAATTAGAAATTATTTAGTAAAAATGGAAATGGAAATATATTTTTTTATAGAGTAATATGTCTGAGTGAAAAAATTGTAAATGCAGCTTTAAGGTAGAAATATTTTTACATACTATAATAGTAGTTTTCTGTTTTGAGCACTAAAAAATACTCACTTTTAATGCTTATTTCTTTTTATTTTTTTGGGAGGCCTACCCCCCCCCTGCACCCCCCCCTCGCTCACTACGATTAGCACGGTACTAGACCCAATATTATTAAGACTTTGACCCCCCTTTTTAAAAATCTGGATCCGCCCCTGAAAGAATGTACCAAAAAATGGTCATAGATTTTGTGAGCTTTCTAAAAAAAGGTGGTGGGACTGAGAGAAATAAATTAAAAACACGTTCCTTTGAATTGGGGGTTTGTACTCTTCTATGTTTTAAACTGTAAACATTTTTTTTCTTCTTTTTATTAGATTTTCTTTGACATCAAGATCAAGTTATCAACACAATTTACTTAAACATGACTAACTTTGCACCTTTATTTTCCATTGCATGGAAACCTGTATTAACTTTTTCTTTGTTTAGCTTTTCAAATCATGCTTAATAAAGGGACTGCAGGCGTAATTTTATGTGACATTACATTTATAGAGTTGCATGTACGGTGCACAATGGTACCTTTTAAACATTTGACTAAAGATGGATCTCTTCCACGTCGATAATCAGATAAAGTTGTTTTTATATTTATATGGAGGGTTAGTTGAAAATACATCAAAATATTGATAGTAATATTCACTAAAAACTAATTTTGTTACTCTGAAGTGTAAAATTATAAATTTATCTTTTAAAACATTTCCTCCGATGTAAAGTATATATAATAAACTCCACACAGCAACAAACATAACTGAAAAATAGATAATTATATGTATTTCAGGGAACTGATTGCTCTTCTTATGCTCAAACTTTTTTATTCCTACATCTTTGTAACCTGGTGTCGTTGAACTTGAAATTTTAATCTGCAGGAAATATAAGCTGCTAGATTATATAAGTTTTGCACCATTATGTTACAAAGATAAAGGAATTAAAGCAAGCAAGAATAAATCAGTTAATCCCTTTATGAATATTCTTTAATCCTACAAACAAAATAATTAAAAAATTAAAAAGTTTTTCATCAGATATTGTCCAAGAAATTGAAAATAAAACAATTACCTGTACAAATTACCGATCTTTTAAAGTCTCTAAAATCAATTGAATAGAACATTTTCAATTCTTAATTATAACTTTTTTTGAGCTTGTGATATTTATAATCATAAAAATAATAATAATAATAATTATAAAAATAAAAAAATAATACTAATCAGAATAACATTTACACCATATTATTTATACCATAAAAGAAAAAATATAATTAATAATAATAAAGATAAATCAATAATAAGATAAGAAATAATAATGAAAGTAATAAAAATAGATTTTAGAAAAGTGTTATGTAGAGTTGAAGCATTTCAAAACTAACACTCAACATTTACAAAAAGTTTAACACTTGTGACAAGCCTTGACCAACTTAAATTACTTGAATTGCAGGGGAGCCAAGGTTGTATAATATTAATAAGATTGCTTACTTTCGTTGCGCTCTAATGTCGTCTCCTAACCATAGATATAAGAAGTGTGTTCAATAAGTTTTTTTAGAGGTACTGCTAGATAATTTTTTCCTTTTTAAGTTTTTGGAGGGCGGAACAAATTGTTTTTATTCCCTCACTTCGAACATTTTTTATAACACTATCTGGCCAGCTTATATTTCCGAATACCTTGTTTTGATTGTTTGGAATTTGTAAAAAATATGAGCTATGAAAAGAATTTGACTCCCTGCCCTAAGCACCCCGTATGCATGATTAATGCCCTTGCCCTCTTGAAGCATTCTGATTACTTGCAACACTGAAATACAATGTTGGTAAAGCAGCCATATTTTCCATTTATCTTTGTTGTTTATTTTTTTTGTGACCCTGCCAAATCTGAGGCACCAGCCAGATCCTTCGAATAACATTCAAATCTTTGCCAAATCTATGGCACGAATGCCAAATCTGCGGCACGGCAGCCAACCAATTCTGTGGCATGGCGGCCGAATCTGTGGCAAGGCGGCCAAGTTTGTGGCATTGCGGCCAAATCTGTGGCATGGTGGCCAAATCTGTGGCATGGCGGCCAAATCTGTAGCACGGCGACCAAGTCTGTGGTACGGCAACCAATTCTGTGGCACTGCTACCAAATCTGTGGCACGGGGCCAAATCTATGGCATGGCGGCCAAATCTGAAAACAAAATCGTAAATTTGTGTACAAAAGAACAAAATTCGAGTATACATCGCCTTCCTTGTCCTAAGGAATCAAAACAAAAACTGAATTGTAACAACAAAGATGTGAAAATTGTGTTCGCTAAAATGTGTACAGCACAAGTCATTTCCGGTAACAGATACTATTTCCTTTTAGAGCTTTCTCAATTTCTCATTATTCTTTTGAAGAGGGAAACCAAAACATTTTCTAAAATTTTTTCTACATGAAGAATTTTTAAATGTCTCAGCCCTGTATTTTTTTTAAAGTTCACAATACATAGCTATGCTTGTGTTCATAAATCTGCCTTTCACTTTATCCAAGAGTAATGTCGTCTTCCTACCCTTCC